ATATTCTTGGCCCCCTCCAACACCGCTACTAAGGGTCTCTCTCTTGTCAGCGCGCAAACGATTGTCCGTTCCAGCCAGGACCCATTTTTGCAAATGCTCAATGGGGGTCTGGAGGGGGTTGTGGTCCCTGCAGGCACGGTACTGGCCCATGCCACTACTGACTTTACAGTCCGCAACGATGACGTGTCCGGTCGCTTGGTGGGCGCGACTTGGCCGAGCACGTTGTCGGACAATCGTTGGATGGCCAAACTATGCGGTGAGAACCTGTCATTGTCCGCTGCTCAATGCGGGGAATTGCGTGTGCTGCTCATCGAGTTTGTCGAAGTTTTAGTAAAAATGATTTCGATTTGGGACGCACGTCGCTTTTGTCCTACCACATCGATATGGGGGTTGCCAGCCCTGTCTGCCAAAATTCACACCCGTTGAGCCCTACGGAAAAGGGACGGGTGCAGAGCGCGGTGGATGAGTTGCTGGCCGCTGACAATATTTCCCCATCTAACAGCCCGTTTTTGTCAAAAAGAAGGATGGCAACCTCAGATTCTGCGTTGATTTCCAGAAACTTAATAAGGTGTCCGTGGCCGATGCGTACCCTCTGCCACGGATGGACGACTCCCTCGATGCATTGTCGGGAGCGAGGTATTTTCGACTCTCGACTTGTCTTCCGGGTTTTGGCAGCTGCCCCTGGACGACTCTTCCAAGACGACAACGGCGTTCTGCACGCCTCAAGGGCTTTATCAATTCAACTGCCTTCCCATGGGACTGAATTCCGCACACGCCACATTCCAACGGTTGATGGAGCTTGTTTTGATGGAATTGCAGTGGGACACGTCTCATATATTTGGATGATATTATTGTGTTCAGTCGCACGTTTGAGGAACACCTTCAATGGTTACGAGCCGTTTTTGACAGGATGCGCTCTGCTAACCTCAAATTTAAACCATAAAAATTTCACCTTTTGCAACGTTCTGTTCATTACTTGGGACACATTCTGAGCTCCGAGGGTATCGCTACGGACCCTGACAAAACTTGTGTCGGGAACGTACGCAGTTTTGTCAGCTTCACGTCATATTACCGTCGGTTCGTTCCACATTTTGCTATGATCGCTAAACCTCTGCACGTACAAACTGCTAAAAATCCAACACATAGCCGTGCAGGAATGCGCCCGTGATCGTTGTGGCGGACTGATCTGGCACTGGCCACGCCACGGTACTCCACCCCAACCAACAAATATTGATTTCCCCGCGGGGTGGTGGGAAATGGGCCGAGTACGTCGAGTGCGACGAGTTCGTTAACGTGGGCTACTGTTATCGATTTCAAGGGTGGACAGGCCATCCCTTCAAAACATTATAACCGTCCCCTGCCATCCCGGGCCAAAAGAAGTGAAGTTGAAGGGTCGATAACGTCTTTGGAAACACCCAAGTGCATCAAGCGCTCGTGCATGGCCCATATAACTCTGCCCCGCAGAACAGTGGGCACGACGATATTAGACCTTTGCAATCTGCCGTCCCATTGCATCAAGAGACCCCCCTTTAGGATCACAGAGGACAATTCTCGACGCCCTCCCCCACCTTCAAGGTTCCTGACTTGGTGCCTCAATTTAAGTAAAGAGGTGTCTTCTGCCTGGAGACGGCCCCACTCAGTGTTCGCGAGACCAAGCGTGCTGTCGCATGCAGTAGCGACTTATGTGTGCGGGACGTCCGCTGCCGCCACAACAGCCGAGGAGATGCCTATCTCAGTCGGCTTACATCGCCCCCCACTCGTGAGACATGTGTAGGGGTGTTAGAGAGAGCCGTTATGCATGGCAGCTTATGGGAAACAAACACAGTGGGTGGGGCTACGTGAGTGCACGGGGGGGGGGTGCTCTCAACGACGTCCGCACCGGGCAGCCCGGGGCCCCACCCCTCAGCGGGGGTTGAGTATAAAAGGGGATGTGTCAGAGGGCTCGGGGAGAAATGTTAAGCTAACGAGAAGACTGAAGACATCTAGCTAGAGCCCTGGACTCCCCTAGTTCGACGTCCTTATCAGGGCCGAACAGGATCGAGCCAGCGGCGTGGTTCCGAGAGCCAGAGCCGGTGCTCTTGTCAGAGCAGGTCTGGGACTCCGGGTACCGGGCCCGACTTACCAGTGTCGGGCCAGATAGCCTCCCCTAGCCCGTTAGTGGAGGACTAAGAGGCAGGCTAGGGTAGCTAGCGTGTGTATTCCCAGCTAGCCGGGTGAGGGGGCCGATACCCCCTCGAGTGTTATATGCCCACTGTTGTGCTGTGAAATAAACCCGTGTGCCTCCAACTCCGGTGTCAAGAGTCGTCAACGGTATTACACATGCACAGCGGTTCCCTGGCGGCAGACGCGATAAAGCATCCGCGTTAGCGTGGCAAATGCCTTTCCTGTGAAGGACTCAGAAGGAATAGTCCTGGAGGACCTCTAACCACCGGGAGAGCTTCCTGGATGGCTGTTCGACCCTCAACGCATACTGTAGCGCCGCGTGAACCGTGCGCACCTCAAACCCCCTGCCATAGAGGTACAGACGATACAGCTGGACAAAGAAAACGATGGCCAACAATTCACAACACGTCACACATTAGCGCTGCTCAGCTGGGGGACAATACTCGGCTGCCATAAGCCACAACCTTCTCCACGCCGTTCACAACCTGAGACAACACGACGCCAATTCCAGTATCACTCGCGTCCGTGTCTAGGATGAAGGGCAATGAAAAGTCAGGGTATCACAGGGGAAGTGCCGTAACCAACCCATCCTGTAAGGCAATAAACGCCTCCCCCTCCTCCTTCCCCCATCGACATTTTTGGAGAGGTTTTGCGATAGTAGCAAAGTTGGGCATGAAGAGGAAAACCCCACAAATCTGCGTACTTCACCCACCGTCTTGGGTGTCGACCATGTGCGCACGCACGCTGTTTTCTCAGGATCTGTAACTATCCCTGAATCGCTTACAAAATTAGCTACCCGCATTCAAACAAAAACAGCTCTCAGCCGTTGCAGATGTTCCTCAAATGAACGAGCAAACACAATGGCATCTTGACTTAAAGCGTTTGTGATAGCAGGAATTAATATTCTTTGGGTCTTTCGGTAAAGTCACGTAGATTTTTTTTTCTCCCCACCTGAAGAAGACCGCTTGTGTTGCGATCGAAACGTCGTGGATTTTTGCTTTTAATTTAGATTTTTTTTTCTATCTACTTGACTTTACCGAAAGAACCAAGTTAATGTTCCTTCTCCGTCGGGCTCAACCTATACGGGTTTTGCCGAATGGGGGTGGAGTTCCCTGTGTCTATATTGTGATGCAACAGCGACGTTCGGCCAATGTCATATTTACTTTTACTAAAAACAGTCGGAAAATTAACTGAGAAGCGCACGTAGCGTGGACCGCTGTGAATGAGACAAGCGCTGCGGAAGGCAAGGGGCGTCTCGGGCCTCCCCTCGCCGATGTGCAGCGAAGCTTATCACTAAACATGGAACCCCTTGACTACCTCTCCTCCAGTGGGCATTCATTCCTAAGGGCATTCATGAAGCAGAGGTGCAAACGGGTTTTGATTCCTTACCCGTACCCGTACCCGGCCGCACCGGGGTCGCAAATGGGTACCCGTACGGGTAGGGAACGGGTACCCGTACCCGGCCGGGTACGGGTACCCGTTCGCTACCCGTACCCATACCCTACCCGAAATGAGTGACAAACGGTTACTCACCAGTGACTCACGGCCTACCCGTACCCGACCTCACCAGGGTCGCAAACAGCTAACCCGATACCCGGCTACCCGTACCCGGCCGCGTACGGGTAGCCGGGTATCGGGTAAGGTACGGGTATCGGGTACCCGGTTGCAACCTCTGTCATGAGGGCATTTAGACACCCCCCACCTCTGTCATGAGGGCATTTAGACACCCCCACCCCCTACCTTTTTTCCCTTCTCCTACAGGGATATCAGAGCGAGGGAATACACCAAGAGTTTGTAGAGTATATTTAAACAGTGGTGTCAAACCCCTTTCATATCCTCTGTGTGTACCTGAATCGTCTTGTTAATGATAAAATACTTTTGGGAAGAAAAAAAATCAGTTCTCGTGATGTCGCAGCGATCGGAAGACGGAACGTCTCCATGAGCAGGCTGAACCACGAAAGCTGCACAGCCTGTTGCCGTACAGCAGCACCCGACCCAGATGACGATTGACTGGCTCCGTTTTAATAATAATATTAATAATTAAAATGTGTAATGCACATTCGATTCTAGGATCTCAAAGCGCAATTCATGGAAATCAGGAAACAAAAGCAGAACCAGGGAAACTGACCAAACTAAAGAGGGAAGGCCACTTTAAAGAGATGGGTTTTCAAAGCAGATTTAAATATATCTACCGACTCCGAATTCCTCGTTTCAAGTGGCAAGGCGTTCCATATCTTGTGGATCGCACGCTAACAAAATCACCAATCACCAAAAGAGCACAACCCGAGACCTGGGAGTGCTGAGCAGTTGGAGATCGGAAGATCTTAGGGACCTTGATGGAATGTATAAATGCATTAGTTCATGCGGACGGTGGCATCAAAAGATGAATTATTCAGAGGTTGGTGGTGTCACTGAACTTGAGTGCACAATTTGTGCGAGAGTTCCGAGCTCACTCAAAGGGGGCAACAGCGACATCATCAGTTTGGAGCCTCGTCTTTACCTGGTGGGTCTGCGGCAACATCGCGTGCCGTGGACCCAAATCAATGGGTTAGTATCATGGCACTTTTTTGCCGGTACCAAAGTGTAGTGTCAGTGAGTCGGAGACGAGGTTTGTGGAGGCACCTTATTTATTGAACACACACGTTCTCATCTGCACACACTCTACAGTCGTTAGCCTATACACACCACTAGCCGTCTAACACCAATGACGCTGACGGAGACAGCAAACAACTATCTAGCAGCGCAATATCATGCGAAGACGTCAGCGACGATGGCGACGAGACGACAGCAACGACCAAACGATCCAATCCCAGAACCGGCAGCCTCGAGCTCCCACTCTCAGCCTCTTTTATGCTCCCATCGCGGCCTGGCTCCGCCCTGGCCGCGCCTCCCTTCTCGAACCCACCAGCAAGTTCATGGGGCTTCCAGATGGGACCCTCCATGGCGCTTGCCCCAGTTCCTCCGCCCTGCCGACACACACACCGTGTATATGCTGACCGGCGTGTGTACTGTTTGTCCACCACAGTTGCTGCTGCTGGTCATCGGCCAAGTGCTATTACACTACATCACCCCGCACACCCCACTTGTTAAAAAAAACAGCCATCCCGGATGACATACAGCAACTGCAACTGGGTGGACAGGCAGAGCAACCCAAAGCCGAGGAATATCCATAAAAAACATAAATACAGTCGCGACCCTCCCCCCGAACAGACAAACATGAAATAGATACCTATTACAAGGGATTAAGTTTGCATTAACGACACGTATTTGTGGTCAACAAAGCATACATTATCAGAGCGAGTCTATGGGCAGTGTGAGTCCATGGGCAGGGCGAGTCTATGGCGAGGGTGAATTAATGGGCAGTGTTGAGTCTATGTTGAGTGTGAGTCGATGGGCAGTGTGAGCCTATAGGCAGGGTGAGTCTATGGACAGGGTGAATCTATGTGGAGTCACTGTACTTGTCACTGTATGGCGCCGGGCTTGCGAAGTCACGGCCGGTAACGGCCGTGACTTGGGGCATGACACTCTGGCTGACCTGTTGTCACTTGGACCGGACGATACTGGGGGGGGGGGGGGGGGCACAGGTGGACAGGGGCCGAGGGGCGGTCACGTGGTTTGGAGGGGCTCTCGGGAGCATTCGAGAAGGAGCTCGAGAAGTCTGGAAGGTGGGCGGGGCTGAGGGCGGAGCCAGCCCCAGCCTGGGAGTATATAACGAGAGCTCCGTGAGGAGCTCGGGGTTCTTCAAGTGTTGGTGATGAAGATCCACGTCGGGGAGAAGAAGCCTCTAGCCACGCGATCCAGGACCCAGCTTGTGGTCCGGACCGGGATAGCGAACCGTGTCTAGTTCTGCCGTAGCGTGGTTAGATGGGCATTCGAGACCCGAGCGTAGTTTGTGTTACTTTACGTGTTGGTGTTAATACATAGTGTTGCTCCCGAGATAACGTCTGCGACTCAGTTGGACTCACTACAGGGTGAGTCTATAGAGAGTGTGAGTCTATGGGCAGGGTGAGTCTATGGGCAGGGTGAGTCTATGGGCATTGTTGAGTCTATGAGCAGTGTTGAGTCTGTGGGAAGTATGAGTTTATAGTGCAATGTTGAGTATAGGGTTTCAATGTTAAGTCTCTGGGCAGTGTTGAGTCTATGGGCAGTGGTGAGTCTATGGGCAGTGGTGTCTATGGGCAGTGTTGAGTCTATGGGCAGTGTTGGGTCTATGGGTTTCAATGTTAAGTCTCTGGGAAGTGTTGAGTCTATGGGCAGTGGTGTGTCTATGGGCAGTGTTGGGTCTATGGGTTTCAATGTTAAGTCTCTGGGAAGTGTTGAGTCTATGGGCAGTGGTGTGTCTATGGGCAGTTTTGAGTCTATGGGCAGTGGTGAGTCTATGGGCAGTGGTGAGTCTATGGGCAGTGGTGAGTCTATGGGCAGTGTTGAGTGTATGGGCAGTGTTGAGTCCGTGGGATGAGGGAAGGAGGGGATGGAGGGAGGGTGTTGAAGGTGTGGGGTTGTGGGTGACAGAGCAGGAAAAACAAGTGTCGGCCGAACTCGGCAACTATTTTTCCTGCAAGCGACTGAATCGCTTCCGAGAATCGCTTCCCCCACACACCGAAAAGGGGGGGGGGGCGGGTGTGGCGGACGTGGTGGCCACCACCCCACCCACCCCGCTCGTGTGGTGCCACAGCCTTCAAAAAGGCACCGCTGCTACTATTCGCTACGAACAGCACGTTGGCCCCGGTGAGTTCAAGTTCATTTATTAGGTATAGCCCTGTGAGCCATTCGGCTCTTGAATCGGGTGCAACCGCAACAAAAAAACAAAACAAAAACATGAACAAAAAACATCTTAAAGTGACTATGTGCAAACAGAAAATCCAAGAAAAGACAGCAAAATATTGCAGAAAAAAATCACCGTACACCAACGCTGTGTGCAAAAATCCCAGTGGGATGCAAGTCAAACAACCAACAACAACCACAAGTGTTGTCTATGGGTGCGAGGCGGTGCTGTGTCGTGTATGTGCGTTGAACTTCTTTCGGCGGAAGGCCAACAACACTGAACACAAAAAAACAAGCAGTTCTAATTAAATGAGTGTACAATCTAGAACCAATCACCCACTCAATCTCTCACTCACCCACCCACTCACCCACCCACTCACACACTCGCCCACTCACTCACCCACTCATACACTCACCCACCGGCTCACCGATTCACCAGCTCACCCACCCACTTGCCCATTCAAGGACAAAGATACCTAGAGTAGTATTTACAGACCGGGGCAAGTTCTGTTAAAAATTAGCACCTATTCAGGCCGGAACGCCACACGAGATGGGTGGACCAGAACCACGCCCGGCCGCCTTTGTCTCCCCGACTGACGAAGTTCACTACACACCGCACTAGGTACTCATTTTAGGCTGAGTCAACCTAGGGGAGGCCCAGGACCGGTTCAAACAATCGTCACAGGTGCTAGTTATCGTGAGCGGGAATCGAACTCGGTTCGCCGGGTTCGCAGCACAGCATTGCGTTAACCGCTGCGCCACCGCTCCCCAGAATACTCACCCGCCCACTCACCCACTCACTGACACTCACTCACGCAATTACTCACTCACCCACCGACTCACCCACTCACGCAATCACTCACTCACTCACTCACCCACGCACACACACCCCACCGACTCACTCAGAGCACTTGCCCTTTGCGAAGTGCGTGAGCTAAACGGGACAGCTTTGTCTTTTGGATGTCACCCCTGGCGTGGATGGGGTGGAGGGGGCGGGGCAGGAATTGGGCGGGGCGCAGCGTGCAGTATTTAAGACTGAATCGACCTAGATAGGGTGCAGACCATTACAGAGGGTGAGGTAGCAAGACCAGGTGAGTGACTGAGTGACTGAGTGGGTGCGTGCGTGGGTGTGTGAATGGGTGTGTGAGTGGGTGTGTGAGTGGGTGCGTGAGTGGGTGAGTAGGTGGGTGAGTGGGTGAGTAGGTGGGTGGGTGAGTGGGTGAGTAGGTGGGTGGGTGAGTGAGTGGGTGAGTGGATGGGTGAGTGGATGGGTGATTGAGCGGGTGGGTGAGTGGGTGTGTGAGTGAGTGGGTGGGTGAGTGAGTGAGTGAGTGGGTGAGTGAGTGGGTGAGTGAGTGAGTGGGTGGGTGGGTGAGCGGATGGGTGGGTGAGCGGGTGGGTGAGTGGGTGAGCGGGTGGGTGAGTGAGTGAGCTGAGTGGGTGAGTGAGTGAGTGGGTGGGTGAGTGGGTGGGTGAGCGGATGGGTGAGCGAGTAGGTGGGTGAGCGGGTGGGTGCGCGGGTGGGTGAGTGAGTGGGTCAGTGAGTGGGTGGGTGGATCATTGTGATGATGGTGATGCCAGTGGTGGTGATGGTTATGATGATAGTAGTGCTGATGGTGCTGCTGATGGTGCTGCTGATGATGGTGCAAATGATCGTGCTGATTAATACGTTGGTGGTAGTGTTTCTGATGATGATGTTGATGGTGCTGCTGCTGCAGGGATGCCCGTTGACAGGATGAGGATGAGGCCCTGGTTGGAGCTGAAACTCAACTCGGGATCCGATCCCTGCCTTTCGTGGATTGACAAAGTGAGCCCCCCCCCCCCCAAAAAAAAAACATGCTTCAAATCGCTTTAAACTATTGTCATTGTAGTGTATATTTAAGGTGGCGCTACACTCTGATGTTGTAGGAAAAAACATTTATTAAAAAGTATATTTAATTAAGTAGAACGTGTTGTCTATATTTATTTAAAGTTGCGTATTTTCTATGTCACGTCACATTTTTCACCCCCCCCCCCCCCATCGTCACACATCGTCACAAATGTCTGACCCCCCCCCCCCCCTAGGTGCGTGGCGTCATTTATGGACGGCCCCTTACCGTGTCTCACCGCGTCTCCCTGTTTCTCACCGTGTCTCCCTGTGTCTCCCGCGTCTCACCGTGTCTCTCCCCTCGGTGTCTCAGGAGAAGGGAATCTTCATGGTGTCTTGGAGGCACGCGTCACGGAGTGGCTGGAACGAGAGCACAGACGCCTCCATCTTCAGGGAGTGGGCGATTCACACTGGTACTGAGGAGACACGAAGGGGGCAGAGACACGGGGGGGGGGGGTGGGGGAGACACGGGGACAGAGACACGGTGACACGGGGAGGAGACATGGGGACAGAGACACGGGGACAAAGACACGGGGGGGGCAGGGAGACGTGGGTTCGATCCCTACCCTGACGATGCCTGCTGCTGTATATTTGGAGTCTGAATCTCTCTGCCCGTGGTAGTCACTGCTTGGATTTTTCTCCCGGCCCTTCCGTTGATTTACCTCCGCATTTAGAATCTATCGCACACATTTAGAGTATTTCGCTGCTGCTATAAATTCCCACGTGATGATGATATCAGCTGCTCGGTTGAGCTGCTATCATCTCTGATGGGCAGGTCGTTTCTGGAAAAAAAAACCCAGCTACACAGCTCAGTGGGGCATTACCTGGTAAAATATAAAAATGTTTAGTTTGGGTCTCGATGAGTACGAGTCTCTGTAGGTCTCTGTGGGTCTCTGTGGTTCTATATGGGTCCTTGGATATTCGTGGTTCTCTATGAGTATAGGTTTCTATGAATCTTTATGGGTCTCTGTGGATCTACGGGTCTCCGAGTCTGTTTTAACACGCGTTTAGAGTATTTGGCTGCTGCTATGAACGTCCACGTGATGATGATGTCAGCTACTCGGTCGAGCTGCGATCATTTGTGATGGCCAAGTAGCTTCTGAATAAGAGCTACGTAATTCTATATTTGAAGTTTTCATGACTGCCAAGGATCCATACTCTTTGGTTCTTTCGGTAAAGTCACGTAGGTGAAAATACAAATAATAATACAAATTATAATAAAAAATAATAGAAATAAAATGTAAATGATAATAAGTAAATGTAGTTATTTTTGTTTTATTCGTGAAAATAACCAAATTTATTTTTTATTGTATTTTATTTTTTCTTATTTAAAAAAAAAATTTTCACCTACATGACTTTACCGAAAGAACCAAAGAGCTACGTAGCTCACTGGGGCCTCACACCTCGTAAAATGCAAAATAGCAGCTCCTTCCGCATTCGGTGAGCGCCGCAGTTCAGGTGAGAAGAGAGCGCGATGACAAATGTCCCCACCCCTCTCTCTATGTTCCACCGTGTCTCTCCCTCACCCTCCCCGCGTCTCCCTCTTTCTCTCTCAGGCAAGTTCCGCGAGGACCACGTCGACCCGAAGACGTGGAAGGCGAACTTCCGCTGCGCTCTGCACTCGCTCTGCGACGTCCGCGAGCGTCGCGACCTGAGCACGCGTCGGGGCGGCCAGGCTGCTCGGGTCTACGTCATGCTCGCTCCACCGACACGTGAGGCCGGGGGGACGCATGGGTGGGGGGCAGACACGGGGGGGGGGGAGACACGGGGGCGAGGTGGGGGGGAGACACGGGGGGAGACACGGGGGGGAGACACGGGGGCGAGGTGGGGGGGAGACACAGGGGGAGACACGGGGGGGAGACACAGGGGGGAGACACGGGGGCGAGGTGGGGGGGAGACACAGGGGGAGACACGGGGGGGAGACACGGGGGCGAGGTGGGGGAAAGATACGGGGGGAGACACGGGGGGGAGACAGGGGGGCGAGGTGGGGGGGAGACACGGGGGGAGACACGGGGGCGAGGTGGGAGGGAGATACGGGGGGAGACACGGTGGGGAGACGGGGGGGGAGACACGGGGAGGAAACATGGAGAGGAGACATGGGGGGAGGACAATGGGATGGGACACGGGGAGGGGAGACACGGAGGGAGACACGGGGAGAGACACGGGGGCGAGGTGGGGGGGAGACACAGGGGGAGACACGGGGGGGAGACACGCGGGCGAGGTGGGGGGGAGACACAGGGGGAGACACGGGGGGGAGACACGGGGGGGAGACACAGGGGCGAGGTGGGGGGGGGAGACACGGGGGGATACACGGGGGCGAGGTGGGGGGGAGACACGGGGAGGGGGCACAGGGGGGAGACACGGGGGCGAGGTGTGGGAGAGACACCGGGGGAGACACGGGGGGGATACACGGGGGCGAGGTGGGGGGGAGACACGGGGAGGGGGCACGGGGGGGAGACACGGGGGCGAGGTGGGGGGGGAGACACGGGGGGAGACACGGGGGAGACCGGGGGGGGGGACACACCGGGGCGAGGTGGGGGGAGATACGGGGGTGAGGTGGGGGGGAGACACGGGGGGGGGGGGAGACGGGGGGGGGAGACACGGGGGCGAGGTGGGAGGGAGAAAACGGGGGGAGACACGGGGGGAGACACGGGGGCGAGGTGGGGGGGAGATACGGGGGGAGACATGGAGGGGAGACACGGGGGAGACATGGGGGGAGACATAGGGGGGAGACACAGGGGCGAGGTGGGGGGGAGACACTGGGGGGAGACACGGGGGCGAGGTGGGGGGGAGACACGGGGGGAGACACGGGGGGGGAGATGGGGGGGGGAAACACGGGGAAGAAACATGGAAAGGAGACATGGGGGGAGGACAAGGGGAGGGGACACGGGGAGGGGAGACAGGGGGGGGGGGGAGACACGGGGAGGAGACTGGGGGGGGGGGGGGATGGGGGGGGACATGGGGGCGGGGGGGAGACACAGTGTGGAGACACGGGGGGAAACATGGAGAGGAGACACGGGGGAGGAGACACGATGAGGAGACACGGGGGGGAGACACGGTGGGGAGACACGGGGGGGAAACGTGGAGAGGAGACACATGGAGGAGACACAGGGGAGGTGACACGGTGAGGAGACACGGGGGGGAGACACGGTGGGGAGACACGGGGGGAAACATGGAGAGGAGACACGTGGAGGGGAGACGAGGGGGGGCAGACACAGGAGGGACACGGGAGGGAGGGAGGCACGGGGGAGGGGGGAGGCACGAGGGAAAGACATGAAGACAAGGGGGAGACATGCGGAGAGAACAAGATGCTAATGTTGATGATTAATCTGTTACAGCCAAGAAGACGAGTAAAATGAAGTACCGGAATAGAAAACGAGAGGTGACTCATCAACATCATCACAGCCATCAACATCATTACCATCAACCTCAACCGCCATCCACCACTAAGTGGCTATCCATTCACCACGGCCCTTGTGCCAGGCTAGGTGCACCTTTAGGCCACACAAATTGAAAAAGGCTCGCTGGTAGGAAAGGCTCCAACTCCTTCTCACAGTGAGCATCAATTACCAGATCAGCACACGTAACATGGTTGACTTAATCGGGAGTAATTCCTTGACCACGCGCGGGTATAGATTAGCCTGCAATTGTATTTGTACCAGATGGAAACTCCTCAGGTACACCCATAGAAAGCTTCTCGAGCCACGTGGTCAAAAATTATGTTAAATAGTGTATAGGCCAGAGGACTTTCCTGTCGCATCCCAAGGTCAACAGGGAATGGCTCTGACTCCCGGCTACGTACATTTACCCTGGCCTGTCCATCATCATGAAGGCCCTTAATGATTGTGAGCAGAGTCAGGGACTCTGAAAGCAAGAACAACAACCCAGAGCCCTGGTCTACTCATGGTACCATAGGCATTGACCATGTCAATTAACCAGAGATTTGGTCCTGTTTAAATTCCTTACATTCTGATGTGGCAGACGGACAGAGAATATGGCGTCTGTGCAGGACCACCATGGCCTGAAACTACATTTTCGGCTCTGAAAGCCTCTCCTCAGCGTGCTTGGTAAGGAGGCGATGTTGAATAACCTTTGCCAGAACCTTTCCCGGCCTCACACTGAGGATGGAGATGCCTCTGTAGTTGTTACAATTTATGCGGTCCCTCTTCATAAAGAGGGGGACCACCAGGGCATCTTTGCAATCCTCAGAAATCACCTCCAATGGTCCAGACAGTTGTAATGATGTAACATAGGGTTATCTGGCAAACGCCACCCTCCCTTAGCAGTTGGCTTGAGATATCATTTCTGCCCGGCACTTTACCTGGTCTCAAGCTCAGGATCACCCTTTATACTTACTCAACAGATGGCACATCAGCACGCCACTCACAGGGAGTGGCTACATCCTCCGATATTTGATTTAAAACCTACAAACCTCTTATTGGTTCTTTTGGTAAAGTCACGTAGAAGGGAAATAATAAAATAATAAAAATAAAACATAATAAAATAATTCTCGCGACGTTTCGGCCACAACGCAAGCAGACACTGTCTTTCCGAGAGACCTGTTCTTCACCTGAGGACGGCTGCTTGCGTTGTGGCCGAAACGTCGTGAGAATTATTTTATTATGTTTTATTATTATTATTTTATTATTTCCCTTCTACGTGACTTTACCGAAAGAACCAAGAAGATGAATCCCTGCAGTGACGAAAGCCTTAAATCGAAACCTACAAACCTGTCCACGAGGGTCGGAGATTATAACGCCGTTCTTTCTCCGAAGAATGTTGATATATGTGGCACTGCAATTTATATCATTGATGGAGTTAAATAGTGAATTGTTATCGCGTGCTAGTGAGGAACATTCCATCTACTCAGCAACCCGTGACCACCACTCATTCTTGCAGCACTGCACGGCTCTCTGAGCCTCTGAGCGAAGGCTGCTGTGAACCTCCTCATTCTCTGATGTGGGATGCTATAGACGGTGGGAGTAGGCCTGGCTCTTTCTTTTGACTCACCAGAACAACTCTTCTGTCAGCTAGTGTCTCGAGGGAGGTCTGAACCACATACCCAATGTAGCCATAGCAGCTGCATGAGCCACACTCGTGAACTTCACCCATTTCCCTCTTGGCATCAGGAGGGGGGGGGACGATGCCAACCCATAGTTGCAAGTGTTGATGAAATTTGCGCAACTTTAATCAGAAGCGAGCTGAGATCCAGGCTACTGTGGGTTTGAATAGGGTCCTAAATTGACACCCACCATCGAAGTGGAAGAATGGTAGGTGTATCTTACAAGTGAAAAGCTGATTACCAGTGGGCAGATCAGCTCCACGGAAGGTCCTTGTGCCATGGACATGGACCCACATTCCCTGTTGTGTGGCTATGTGGTCCAACAAATGTTCTTTCTTGGACCCGGCATGCATCCATGATGTTGTGTGGATGTGGCGATACCAGAATAGCGTCTTGTTAATTACAAGCCCATTGACTTGCACAGACGTCTATCAGCCTCATCCTACTGTTGTTAAATCTTGATTTAAAGCTTTCGTGACTGCAGGAATTCATATTCTTTGGGTCTTTCGGTAAAGCCACGTAAATAGAAAAATAATACAAATATCACGACGTTTTGATCGCAACACAAGCAATCGTCATCAGGTTGAAAAATATAGTGGAAGAGCTGCTGAGGCAGGAAAAAATATAGCAGGGAGAGTTGCTGAAGCAGCATGTTATATAGGTTCGAGATGGGTTTAGCCCAAGGGTAAGGGGGTGGGGCTAGAGATGGAATTTGCATGTAAATGTGAGATCGGAGAGCTACCTCCACGACGACGCAGCTGTGGAGGTGGCCATTGTATTGTGAAGATTAGCATGTCAATGTAAGCGAACCACCGCAATGGTGGCTGTGCTAGTGAGACATCCGGCTCGTTAAAAAACGAGGGACACCGCCAACTCGAGGACAAGTAGCAATGGTGGCTGTGTTAGTGAGACATTTAGCGTGTATGTAACTCAGAGTGTCACAAATAACTGCTAACATCGGCAGGTAGGATGGAAACATCACAGCCAGTTATGACTTAAACTCGTTAATAATATCCTTCCAATGATTGCACAGTTTGTAACCATCTTCTCGGTTGAAATTGTGTCTGTGTTTATATATCTGGATGGCTTCATGAACGAATCTTTGTTGATAGCCAGTGGATTTGCAGAGTACCTTCGTCTTGGAAAAATAAATGTCGTGTGAGCCCACCGCATTTAAACAATGATCAGCCATGGCTGAGGTATTGGTCCTACCGTGTTTCAGATCTGCCTTATGCTCACGATTACGGTCCGAGACATGTCGCTTAGTTTCCCCAATGTAACTACTGCCGCACACACAGCTTAGTTTGTAGACACCGGGATATTGCATGTCAGGGGTCACATCCTTCACAGATGGGATCAGATCACGAATTGTATTTACTGTGTTGAATCGAAGCTGGATCTTGTGTTTGCTCATGATTTTGGAAATATTTTGGTAACCCCTGCTATGTATGGCAAGGTGATGGTTTTGATTGGGTCCTCAGATGGTTCTTTCCCAACGGTTGGGGTGATGGCTTTATGGATTGTGTAGTCCGAATATCCATTCATCTTGAGGGCTTGGTGTACGTGCTCCAGTTCACTGGCTAGGTGGTGATGGTCAGAAATACAATGAGCTCTATGGTGTAGAGTTTTGATGAGGGAATTCTTCTGGGATGGATGGTGGTGGGTGTCACGTTTTAGCTAGGCATCTGTATGGGTGGCTTTCCTGTAGATAGTGTCCCATTGAGCCATCTGGTCTCTTTTCGATTAACACATCCACCTCCATGTAAATTTATGAAAATGGCTGGGTGTATGGAATTGATGTGGTTGAATAATTGGCCCAGCGCTGGTAGGCCTTGTGGCCAGATGACGAATATGTCATATACATATCTCTTCCACAAGGACGTAGGGTGGATGCCTGGATGGCATCTGTCTCTGTTGTTTTTGAGCTGATCTGGCCCATGCCTTCCAAACATTCAGGCTCAGGTGCCTGTGTTATGACTGACTCGGTCATTAAAGTCACCCAAACTCTATCTTGAGAGGCTACTTTAGCCAGCACAAGTGACAGGAGGTCCTAGAAAGCATCTGATTCATCAGCCTTGCCTACATCCCTCCAATAATGTTCGTCTTCTTTGGGGTGGATAAACCAATATCACCACCACCATTCCTCGCCTCTTGTTGGTGTGGAGGCAAGTTCACAGCTTGGGCCTCACAGCTTTCCACACCTCACCTCCACACTCCCACACCCACCTTCATTATTTTGTTCAAAAGCAGAGCCACTCCCTGTTGTTTGGCAGTTTCCTGCCCCCGAGTGGAGAACTGTCCACCACTCATGAGCTAGAATCAGTCCGCCGGACCTCCGGTATTCCACAGAAGTTCAGGCAGAACCGGTCCAGCTCCCGACAAAGGAATAGCAGCCCCTCCTCCTTAGTGAATGTACAGACATTCCACGTGATCACTGGCAGTGGTTTCTGGTTTCTTGAGGAAACCTCGAGGAATTGGGGGTGGGGGGAGGTTTTACCGTCAGCATCATCCACAGAGTGGCAGGGTTTGATCTAAAGGACGGGAAACACCCATTCCCATTGGCCGATTGGAACAGCTGCTGATCGATGATTGGTCGGTTCGCCAAAGCGTCAAGATTGGCTGCTGGGGAATTCACATTGACATTCGTGGGACTTTGGTTTAAACTTCTCCTCATCCCCATGTCTCATCCTCTTCCCTGTGTCTCCTCCTACCCCGTGTAAGTCAGATGCCACAGGAGGAAGATGTGGAGCCAACTCAGCAAGATATCTCTCGCCACTCTCCTCGCCCACACACTCCTCACCACTCCTCTAGCCTGCACACTCAACTATCGCCTCACCACTCCACCCACCCACACATTGCTAAACTCTCTCCTCACCACTCATCTCACGCATGCAATTCTCAACACTCATCTCACCTGCACACTCAACTCTCTCCTCAACACTCCACTCACTCAGACACTCCTCAGCTGTCTCCTCACCACCCCTCTCACCCACGCAATCAACTATCTCCTCACCACTCCTCACACCAACACACTCCACTATCTCCTCACCACCCTACTCACCACTCCTCACACCAACACCCTCCTCACCACTCCGCTCACCACTTCTGTAACTCGGAAACTACTTTTTGCTCTTCTTACCTGGAAAATCCTCATTTCTCGTTATACACGGACACTCCTCACCACGCTCACCAATGGAAGACCCCTCCTCACCACTCTCTCTACTCTCACACTAACCCTCTCTCTCTTCTTGAGAGCCCCGAGCTCCTTACCCCGGCTTCGGCAAGCTTCTGCTCCTCACCAGGTGAGGGTGTGTCGGTGAGTGAGTGGGTGGATGCGTGTGTGAGTGAGTGGGTGGGTGAGTGGGTAGGTGAGTGAGCAGGTAGGTGAGTGAGCAGCTGGGTGGGTGAGGGTGGGTAAGCGGGTGTGTGGGGAAGTGGGTGAGCGAGTGGGTGGGCGAGTTAGTGAGTTGGTGGGCGAGTTAGTGAGTTGGTGGGAGAGTGGGTGAGTGAGCAGATGATTGAGTGAGTTAGTTAGTGGGTGGGTGTGTTGTGGATGGGTTAGTGGATGGGTTAGTGGGTGGGTGAGTGAGTGAGCGAGTGGGCGAGTGAGCAGGTGGGTGGGTAAATGGGTGGGTGAGTTAGTGGGTGGGTGAGTTTGTCGGTAGGCGGGTGAGCACCGCACGGCCAACGTCAGTGGCGATTATTTGAAATCGGTCCCGGGAGCTTCGCCTGGGTCGACTCGGCCTTAAATGGGCAGCTGGAGGCAGTCTGTGTGGACCACGAGCGCTGGGGAGACAAAGGCGGCGGAGCTGACGGCAGTGTGTGCGCAGGTGGGGAGGACTCCGCGCGGAGCGACGCCCTGGGCTTCCGGCTGCAGATCTCAGCCTCGTACACAGGTGGGGGGCACAGGGGGCAGGGGAGGAGGGGGCACGAGGGGAGGGGGGCATGGGGGGGGAGAGGACACGGGGGGGATGGGGGAGATTCATAGTTGGGGGGGGGGCACGGAGGGGAGAGGACATGGGGGGAGAGGACATGGGGGGGATGGGGGAGATTCACAGTTGGGGGGGGCGGGGGGGAGAGGACACGGGGGGAGAGGACATGGGGAGATTCACAGTTGGGGGGGGGGGGACACGGGGAGGGGGTGTATAGAGGGGGGGAGGGCACGGGGGGGGGGGGTGAGGGACCCACAGTCTGGGGGAGGGAGGGGACGTGGCAGGTTCACATGGAAGCGGGGGCATGGGGGGGGGGGGGACCCGCGGCAAGGGGGGACACGGGGGGGGGAGGAGTCACGGTGGGGTGGAGGAGTTTGCGCTCATGGCAGGCGCTGCCGTTGTCTCCAGTTCTGCAGGGGGGAGGAGGGGCAGAACCGGAAGTGGCCTCGGACGATGACGTCATCGAGGTGAGCCCCACGAGGAAGGAGCGACAGTCCGTCCCCTCAACGCTGCACGTGGCCACGGTGTCTTTGTCTTTGTGTGGTCGTGGTCTCTCTCTCTGTCTAGTAAACTATTGCATCTCTCTCTCTCCTCCCGGGTCCTCCGGTTTTCCCATCCACATTTAGAATCGACGTCACACGTTCAGAGTATTTGGCTGCTGCTACACAGTTCCACATTATGAGCCGCTTCGTTGAGCTATCATTTGTGGCGAGGTCGCTTCTGAAAATATCTATATCGTAGCTCAGTGGGCCTTACCTGATAAAGTAAAAAAGAAACATGTAATAGTTTAGTTCAGTTTAACACGTAGCAGGCTTTCGCGACCAATATTATTCATAATCAACGTTTTTGGGTTAGATCGCGTTATTTATAAATGTGTCGTAACCATCCACCACCCGACACGGTCAATCAGCAAAAAAAGTGTCACGTTGACAAAAAGACAAATAGTTCACTACTTTATCCCAGCGGTGTGTTGAAGCGTGAAACCACAACATTTACAATTTTTGAGTACGATGTTTCGCTGGTAATTGCATCCAGCATCATCGGGCAATTTGCCAGAATGGTGAGGCTCTGCTCTTGTTCCCGATCTTAAATAGAGCAGCAGCAGGGTGACGTCATCATTTAACGCATCAGGGGCAAGATTTGAGGGGGAGGGGGGGGGTTATTGTAATTATATACTAGATTAGTAATCAGGCAATTGTTACGATGTGAGTTGTAGATTAGTAATCAGTTGTAATGTGTGTTATTGTAATTATATGCTACGTTAGTAATCAGTTCATTAGTATTTGTTTCCCCTATAAGGAATTGTAATATGTATTATTTAATAATACACTTTCAGTTTAGTTCATACAGCGGATATCGTCGGGGTCGGGAGAGAACCCACGAACTCTGTACTAGGCGAGGTAGTTAACAACTTCTAGCCACCGTGGTGTCTGTGGTGATATTCCGCCCGAAAGTATGCACGGGGCAGGAGAAAGGGAAGGTGGTTGGGCTCACTGCCCGACTCACTTAAGGGGCGACGATCGGGAATGTGTTGGTGTTCCGTGTTCTTTAATTGGCTGAGGAGGTGGGGGTTTTAAGAGTTAAGTTAATATAGGTTAGATGCAAAGCAGCCATTGCTGTTGCAATGGCTGCTTTGGGTACATGGTCCATACCTCTTCAGAAACCCTAGCTATCGGAGGAGGTGTTTTAGCTAGTTGAAACTAAGAGACAGGTCTACTCCCACCGTCTGCCACATCACATGTCCAAGAACGATGAGGCTTACTGCAAGCCTTCGCTCGGAAATTTGGAGAGGCATGCGACACTGCAAGGATGAGTGGTGGCCATGAGTTGCTGAGAAAATTGAAACTGCCTCAGCAGCACTTGATACATCAATGTTTAATACCATCAGAAAAAATTAACTTGCAGCACCACAATTATCAACACCCTTAAGGAAAGAATGGTGATCCGATCCCCAGGAATAGGTTCGCATATTTGCTGAAAATTTATCTGAATTCTGAGCACAAGAGGAACCCCTCGGCTCAAACAACATCATAGGGCAAGGTGTAGGTTGACCCTCCTGGGAAAGTAGCTGCTCCCTGAGTAATTGGCTAAAGTGCCATCTGTTGAGGAAATGTGAAGGGCGATCCAGAGCTTGAAACCAGGTAGAGCACCAGGGAAAGATTAACCTCCCAAGTGAACTGCTGAGGGATGGTGGTGTTTGTGTGCAGACTGCCTTATGTGACATCATAATTACAATGATCGGTCCACAGGAAGGGTTCCAATGGTGTTGAAGGATGCAGTGATGGTCTCCATTCTTTAAAAGAGGGACTGCACAGAATGCAACAACTACCGGGGTATTTTCCTCAGTGTGCCGGGAAAGGCCCTGGCAAGAATTTTTTTATATCGCCTTGCCAGACATGCTGAGAGACTTGCGGAGCCCCAATGTGGTTTAAAACTGAGGCGGTCCTGCACAGACGCCATTTTCTCTCTCCGTATTCTACAGCAGAGGGGTAGGGAATTCCAACAGGACCTACATCTCTACCATCAATAAGCCAGAACTCTGGGTCATTCTTCGTGCTTTTGGAGTCCCAGACCATCTTATTACAATCCTTAATGACCGTCATGATGGTGGGCAGGCTTGGGTAAAGCTACATGGCTGGATGTCAGTGCCATTTTATGTTCACTTTGGTTTTAGACAGAGATGTCCTCTTGCCCCTACATTATTTAACATATTTTTTTAAATTCTAGATTTGAAGCTTTCGTGACTGCAAGTATTCATATTCTTAGATAAAATATAATTTATTTAATTTACTTTTATTAATTTTTTACTTTATTTTTTTACCTACTGTGACTTTACCGAAAACCTAAGAATATATATATTTTTAACCATGTAGAGGGAAGCAGCATTCCATGGAAGTACTGGTGGAATTTACATCTGGTATAGATATAATCAGAGGCTGATCGATGCCCAGGTGTGGTCAAGGGATGGCTCCCTCTTGGTCAGCCATTTGATGTATGCCGATGGTCTGGTGATTGCTGCTCACTCAGAGGAGGAGTTGGAGGCACTCCTGCTGAACTTGGAGCTTGCTACTAAGAGATGGGTTCTTACCATCAGCCCCACAAAAACAAAGCACCTACATGGGTATATTATGACATCAAATGCTCCCCTCCATTAATTCTCCATGGATGATAGGGCAGTTTCGGAGAGAAATGAATGTTTCCGTACCTGGGCAGTGTGCTTATGACCAGTTCCGGTTTGGCAGCCGAGGTCTCACTCTGAATCAGTTGAGCAGCATGAAATGTTCAGCTGCTGCGTAATGCTGTGTGTACACTACCTGGTCTGTCGCTCCACACGAAGTTTTGGGTCTTCACAGCCACAGTTATGCCCTCCCTTCTTAAGCTTAGGCAACGTGGAACCCTTTAAAGGAGCATCTATGCCAGTTTGAAACATTCAGGTTGGCCTGCCTATGATCCATCCTGAGTTTAACCAGACTGGAACTCACAAATCCTTGAAAGATCTGGACACGGTACAATAAGGGAGCTATTCTGGCAAGCAAGGCTGCAATGGATGGGTCATGTAGCCCCGCATACCCAAGCAGCTTCTGTTCGGCCGGATAAATGGGGAAAAACGGGCGCAGCACGGGCTAGAGATGGAGCTGATGTGGTACAGAAGGATGTGGAGCTGAGTAGACTTGCCGATGACCGCTACTAATGAAGTCAAAATCGGCCTCTGTGGAGGAGGTTCGTGAAGGATGCTGCTGGGCAGTGAGGTAGTTGTTCTCCAGCAACAGCGGAGGGCAGAGGAGCAACGCTCACAACAATGAGCGGAGCACCGGGCGGCTAAAACACAGCAAGTTGGCATAGTAGCGGCCACAGGTGATACATCTGTCAGTCATTTCAGTCAGTCAACTCATGGCACCTGCAGGGTCTGTCCCGTGACCTGCAAACGAGCGTTCAACACTTTGCGTGGCCTCAAAGTGCACCTAGCCTGGCACAATCGCCACGGTGACGTCACCGCCGCTTAGTGGTGAAGGGCGGTCGTTATTGTCGTGTATGGCCGTGTTCTCTCCACTACTGGCTGAGTGAGTGACCCTGTGCATGCCATGTTCTATCCGCAGCTGGTCGATCACCTGCGCCAACTCCACGAGACGGCGTGGGAGCCACGACTGGTGCCGTGGTCTGCACCGTACTGAGAGTGATGTACAGAGGGAGAGATGTATATAGACATATACGCGTATATATACTCAGATGTATATTTATATATGTATAGAGATATAGATGTATACATACCGATGCGTATATACAGAAATATCCTGTATACAGATAGATGTATATACAAAGATGTATAAAGATAGACAAAGATGAATTTATGTATGTACATAGAGATATATAGAGATGCATCGTGATATATAATTCCATTCAGAACCTCTCGACACAGAGACATATATATGGAACAATTTCGAGATATACAGTGAGATTTATATATACACACACACGGCTATGTACAGAGATAACTAGAGATGTAGGTAGAGTGTGCGAGAGTCCGAATGGCCAAGTCGCTTGGTGTAGAGCAGGGGTGGACAACCTGTAAAAGACCAAAAGAGCCAAAAATACACCATAAGTTATGCAAAAAGTGTGTGCAAATGTAAGTGTATATATATTGACAGTTTTCTGCACAGCACGGGAGACATTCATTATTCATTGCTACTACTGTGATAGCGCGTTCGACGTTATGTCCCTTTGATAGAGCTACATGCCAGACTCAACACTGCTCAGACTCAACACAGACCCATGGACTCACACTGCACCATAGACTCAACACTGCACCAGAGACTCAACATTGCCCATAGATGCAACACTGCCCATAGACTCAGCACTGAGACCCATAGACTCACACTGCACCATAGACTCAACACTGCTCATAGATGCAACACTGCCCATAGACTCAGCACTGAGACCCATAGACTCACACTGCACCATAGACTCAACACTGCCCATAGATGCAACACTGCCTCATGCAACTTGAGACGCCTGTTGTCCACCGCTTGGTGTAGAGGCTCACGGTTCGAACCCCATGGCTGCCCTGGGTAATACCCCGCGGTGGCTAGGAGATGTTAACTACCTCACCTGGCATACAGGAGGCCGTGGGTTCGATCCCAACCCTGACGCCTTCTGTAAGTTTGGAGTTTGCGACTGTCTCTCGCTCTCCCTTTGGTTGTGTGGCTTCTTCTCCAGGTGCTCCGGTTTTTCCCCGACACGTTTAGAATTGACATTCGTGCATTCCGAGTATTTGGCTGCTACGATAAATCTCCACACGACGATGATATCGGCCACTTGGTTGACCTATCACTTGTGATGGCCAGGGTCGCTTCTGAAAAAGAGCTCCACGGGTCAGTGGGTCATTTCACCTGGTAAAATAAAATAGTTAAATAGTTTAAATACCACAGGTGTACCGAGCCGCACGCATGCACTTAAGATTTAACACAAACTCGAAGATAACTTTGTTCGTAATCACTCGGGGAACACTGGACGTGGTGCTCGTGGCTAAGGCAGAGTTTGTTACTGTCTGCCAATGCCGATCGATGGTGGCGGTTGCTGATGATCAATAAAAATTTGGGAGCACGACTCTTAAACCTTATCTCTCTCGTTACGCACGACAAGACTCGCACAGACGAAGCTCCCCACCCCAGGTACGTTGTGTAAGTGTAATTGGACACAGCATCGACAACTAGGCCCAGGCTTCTTTCTCGATGCCTGAAGCTCGAACTCTGCCTGAACCTCCCCTTGTGCCACTCCCCTTTTATACCCTTGGAGCCTCCTCTCTCGACACTTCGCTCGCCCCCCACTCCTTTCGGCCAATCCTCGTCCTCCACCAACGGTTGTCAACCGTCGCCCCAACCCTCACTTCCCGCCTTTTACGTTGTAAACCCCTCTTCCAATTCCGAGTGTAAAGTAGTGGAGTTGTGGAGGCCGACGTCCACCCCACCGCCCTCGCTGGGCAGATAGGGCGCAACGTCCGCCCACTGCGTCGATTGGCTCCTGCCAGGCCCCCGCCAACCGGGTGATCGCCCCCCCCTGCGCTAGCGCCCTCTCTGAGGGACATGGCTAAACTGCTGGCTCACCGCCGCAGAGTTAACCCACATTCTCCCGTGTACACCACTCACGCCAACGCGGCGCACAGCTGCACGACCGCACCCACACCTGTGTGCACGCTGCGGCTCCTCGTTCACTTTTCTGCGCACCCCACCACTCACGCTAACACGGCGGCGCTAACGCGGCGGTGCGAATGCGTGCGCACCTGCGGGCGATTATATCCTAACACGCGCGCACATGCTGCGGCTCCACGTTCACTCCTCTCGCAATGCATCGCTGCACACGCAGTCGCTCCACACACAAATCACTGACACCACACCGATGCTCTGTGCTAAATTTTATTCGCGGTGCAAATACACGCTACCTGCTGCCTAAGTGCCCAGTCACTCAAACCTCGAAGCTGTACTCACGGCATCGCACGGACGTGAGAGACGGAGGGAGGACGAGAGAAAACTTATCCTATCACAGCCTCGTAGCAGCACTCGCTGGCATCACATGGATGCCGCGAGCGGCTCGAGGAGGCAGGACAGCAGGGAGTGGGTCTTGACGGCTCAGAGGTTGAAGACAAGATACCCCAAAATCGTCCCGTGCTACTCTTTATTCCCTAAACTTCAAAGGCCCAGGGTGACGTCGTACCGCGCAGCCAATCGTGCGCTTACCTGTGCCATCGCTCATCTGCACCTTCTCTTCCATGGCCTAATCACCTCACTTCAAAGGGCCGGGATGGCGTTTGTACCGCGCGACCAATCATGTGCCTACCTACCTGTGGTTACCGCCCCCCTGGTACCGTGTCCTCCGTCGAGGGCGGCGGTGGCGGCGCCGGCCACCCACTGTCCCTTGTAGCTTGGTGTCTGGAAGGGCACCCGGCTGGCGAACACACACCCTGCGAGTGCGTATTCGGTACAAGGGCCGAGATGGGGGCGGCAGTGGCGCTGCTATTCTCCTGACCTCATGCTCTTCTTGCTTAATATTGCACTCTTAGTCCCCCCCCCCAATGTCGTGAATAACTTATTGCGGTTGGCCCAGTGAACCTTTTCTTTCTGCGCCCATACAATTTGAAGCTAACTTCGGGGCACTGCATAGTGATCTGTCCTGCGGGTGTTGGCCAATCTCCTGGCACCGGGAAACCGTGGGACTTTCCTCCTAGCGACCCTTCGGATAAAAACTCGTTGCGCCAGGCAATTCCCCGCCGGGACACTACGTGTGTGCGCTGCATGTGGGTGCTCAGTGTGTGCTCAGCGTGGGGCCAGGGGGGAGTCGTGGCACTGGCAGAGTTGCTCCGCGGCCGTGGCATCACAGTGTATAGTAGTGTTGAGTATAGTAGTGTATAGCAATGTATAGTAGTGTAGTGTATAGCAATGTATAGTAGTGTAGTGTAGTGTATAGCAGTGTAGAGTATAGTAGTGTAGTGTATAGCAATGTATAGTAGTGTAGTGTATAGCAATGTAGAGTATAGTAGTGTATAGCAATGTATAGTAGTGTAGTGTATAGCAGTGTAGAGTATAGTAGTGTATAGCAATGTATAGTAGTGTAGTGTATAGTAGTGTCGAGTATAGTAGTGTATAGCAATGTAGTAGTGTAGTGTATAGTGTAGAGCAGGGGTCCCCAACCCCCGGGCCATGGACCAATACCGGTCCGTGGCCTGTTAGGAACCGGGCCGCACAGCAGGAGGTGAGCAGTAGTCGAGCGAGCGAAGCTTCATCGGTATTTACAGCCACTCCTCATCGCTCGCATTACCGTCTGTGCTCCGCCTCCTGTCAGATGAGCGGCTGCATAAGATTCTCATAGGAGTGCGAACCCTACTGTAAACTGCGCATGCGAGGGATCTAGGTTGCGCGCACCTTATGAGAAGTCAGAATCCGACATTTATTTTAGTCCGCGCGTGGTCCACCTATTATTTTAATTACCACTCCCGTCCGCGCCTCTTTCACGCACTGCACACTTGTCTCGGTCACAGTTTTGGTAAGCCCACAAGCTAACGCTAGCCAAAATGAGTAAAAAACAAACGTCGCTGGAGAGCTTCTTTGAAAAGGGGGAAAGACCCAATGATGGGATAGCAGAAGACTCTAAGACTGCCAACATAAAGAAAGCTGCATTTAAAAGAAAATACCAAGAGTCCTACTTAAATTACGGGTTCATTGCCACAGGTGATTCACATTCTCCAAGCCCGCTTTGTGTAATATATGGCGACCGGCTATCCAACGAAGCCATGAAACCTTCAAAACTGCTTCGCCACATGGAGACCAAGCACCCTGCATGAAAAGATAAGCCTTTGGAGTTTTTCAAAATATAAAAAACGTGAACACGAAGAACAGAAGCAATTATTGAAGGCCACCACTTCATCAAATGTGTCTGCACTGACAGCGTCATTGTTAGGGGCTAACCGCATTGCTAAAGCTAAGAAGCCCTTTATTATTGGTGAAGAGTTGATCTTGCCTGCTGCTAAGGACATTTGCCGTCAACTTTTAGGAGAGGCTGCAGTTCAAAAGGTGGCACGTGTTCCTCTTTCGGCTCGCACCGTAACTAGACGAATTGATAAATAGTAGAGGATATTGAGGCACAATTGTTAGAGAGGATTAATGAGTCACCGTGGTACGCAATCCAGGTTGATGAGTCTACCGATGTTGACAACAAGGCAACAATGCTTGTATTTGTGCGATATATTTTCAGGAGCATGTGCATGAGATTATGTTATGTGCACTTTTGTTGCCAACCAACACCACAGCTGCAGAACTATTCAAGTCTTTGAATGATTACATATCAGGAAAACTGAATTGGTCATTTTGTCGGTATATGCACGGACGGAGCGGCTGCCATGACTGGACGGCTTTCTGGTTTCACTGCTCGAGTCAAGGAGGTCGCCACTGAATGTGAGTCTACACACTGTGTCATCCATAGAGAAATGCTGGCTAGCCGAAAAATGTCACCTGAACTTAAACGTTTTGCAGGATGTGATTAAAATTATCAACTCACGTCTGTTTGCACAGCTCTATGAGGAGATGGACGCAGAGCACAAATGTCTTCTCTTATACACAGAAGTGAGATGGCTTTCTAAAGGTAGATCACTGGCCAGTTTTGAGTTACGAGAGCCGCTCCAGGGATTTATTTTAGAAAAACAGTCACCACTGGCAAGACATTTCAGTGACACAGAATGGGTCGCAAAGCTTGCTTACTTGTGCGACATATTCAGCCTGCTCAACGTACTCAATCTGTCACTTCAGGGGAGAACGACAACTGTGTTCAAGTCGGCAGATAAAGCGGCTGCATTAAAAGCCAAACTTAAATTATGGGGGCGACGAGTGAACATTGGGACTTTTGACATGTTTCAAACATTAGCAGGGATTTTGAAAGAGACTGAGGCAGTGCCTTCTTTCTCCCAGCTGGTGCATGATCACCTATCTCAGCTTTCAAGAGTTTGAGCATTACTTCCCAACCATAAAAGACCCCCGAACTGGGAAGGAATGGATCCGACGACCCATTTGTGAATAAGCCAGGTGAATCGACTTTGTCCGTGCTAGAAGAGGATGAACTGCTTGAGATCGCAAATGACAGTGGCCTTAAAAGTATGTTTGAGACAACTTCAAATCTCAATACGTTCTGGATTAAAGTCAAGGCGGAATATCCTGAGATTGCCACAAAAGCACTGAAAAGCCTGCTTCCATTTGCAACGTCCTATTTTTGTGAAGCACGGGTTTTCTGCAGTGACAGCAACCAAAGCGAGATTACGGAGTCGACTGGACACAAGCAACACACATCGGGTGTCACCGTCTCCCATCACCCCCAGATAGTACAGTCTAGTTGCAAGGAAAACAAGCTCAGGGCTCCCACTGATTCTGCATTATGGTGAGTTGTATCATTATTTCATGATATATTACAATGTAATCATAATAGAAATAAAGTGCACAATAAATGTAATGCGCTTGAATCATCCCGAAACCATCCCCCCCACCCCCCCGGTCCATGAAAAAATTGTCTACCACAAAACCGGTCCCTGGTGCAAAAAAGGTTGGGGACCGCTGGTGTGGAGTATTAGAGTATAGTAGTGGTGTATAGTAGTGTAGAGTGTAGTAGTATAGTGTATAGCAATGTTTAGTAGTGATGTGTAGTAGTGTAGAGTGTAGTAGTGCAGTGTATAGCAATGTATAGTAGTGGTGTATAGTGGAGTGTATAATAGTAGCGTAGTGTATAGCAATGTATAGTAGTGAAGTGTATAGTAGTGTAGTGTATAGTAGTGTATAGTAATGTGGTATTCTATTATTTAATTAATTTTCTTTCTACGTGACTTTACCGAAAGAACCAAAGAGTAATGTAGTGGTGTATAGTAGTGGTGACATATGACGTCACTGTCGGGTCTGTATACACATGACGTCACTGCCATGTTGGGTCTGTATGCGTGACACCACTGCCTGTTCGGGATGGAGGCCACGGGGGTTGTCAGGTCGTGGCACTAGGAGTGACCCCGGCTGGACGCGTGACCGGATCCACGAGGGGGCCGGGGGCCCTGGGGGTCACGTGGTCAGGGAGTGGAGCCTTCTCGAAGGTTCGAGAAGGGGGGCGTGGTCAGGGTGTGGCCGGCCACGCCGGAGAGGTTTATAAGCGGGCTCAGCGTGCTGAGCTGCCGCTGTTGGTGCCTGGGATGAAGCCGTCGTATGAAGACTCTGAAGAGAGAAGCCTCCAGTCATCGTGGCCAAGCAGAAGCCTTCCTGGCTTGGCCACACTAAGTAGTACCCAGATAACCCCCTCCCCCCTTCCTCCCCCCTTAACTTGTATTTAAGGACTTATATCTCTTGGAATCTTGCCTCACTTGATACAGTAAATCTGGCTGTGACGGTCCCACGTGATGTCGGAGACTTGTGTTGCCTCCGAAACGTCGTGATTTATCATTTTATTTCTATTATTTTATTTTTATTATTTTTACCTACGTGACTTTACCGAAAAAACCTAAGAGTATGAATCCTTGCAGTCACGAAAGCTTCAAATCTAGAATTAGTACCCGAGTGTTAGTGAGAGTAGGACGTTGGTCACCACCTTATGTGTAGGGTGTGTTGCAGTTGTGTTAAATAGTGTTGCTTCCACACGAGTGTAAGTGCCTCTATCGAACCATTACAGAAGTATGGTACGTTGAACTTCTTTCGCACTGTACGCATTGCCAAGAACAAACTAAACACAACAAGCAGTTCTAATGAAATTAATGTTCAATCTAGAACCAATGACTCACTCAACCATCCGCCCATCCACTCAACCACTCACCCAGATCCCAGTGAGAGTTCCCGATGTTTATTTGCATCACGTGGTGAGGGTAGATGGTTCACACAAAGTCAAAGCTCCCCCCCCCCCTTCCCGCGTGGTGAAGTTCATCTTACACACCACACGATGCCTGCTTATTGTTTGAGGCTGAGTCGACCTAGGGGAGGGGGTCCCCAGGACAGGAATGGGCTCAGATAGTCGCGACCTATGGTGGCGGCTGTGCGAACCCAGGTCCCCGCTTTTGGGGGATTCGTAGCGCGGCGCTAACCGCTGAGCCACCGCTCCCCCCGCACACTCACACTCGCACACCCTCACACACATGAACTCACACATGAACTCACACTCACTCACTCACACTCACTCACACTCACGAACTCACACACTCATTCACACACACACTCACACACTCAACACACTCACACACACTCACACACACGAACTCACACACTCACACACTCACCACACTCACCACACTCACACACTCACTCACACACTCACTCACACACTCACACACTCACACACTCAACACACTCACTCACTCAACACACTCACACACTCACACACACACTCACACACTCAACACACTCAATCACTCACTCACACACTCAACACACTCAATCACTCACTCACACACTCACTCACACACACACACACTCAACACACTCACTCACACACTCACCACACTCACGAACTCACACACTCAACACACTCACACACTCACACACACTCACACACGAACTCACACACTCACTCACACACTCACCACACAAACTGAACTGACGCACACTCAGACAAGACTCTCCTCCCTCACTCCGTCACCCCCTCTGCCCCCTCTCACCCCGCAGCACCACTCTCTTATCTGCGTCCTCCATCTCTCCTCCCCCCTCCTCCCCCGCCTCCCCTCCACCTCCCTCCTCCTCCCCCACCTCCCGATCTTCCTCCTCCTCCGTTGCCGAAGCGACGCCCTCCTCCTCCTCCCCCTCCTCCTCCTCCCCTCCACCTCCCCCCTCCTCCTCCTCCTCCCCCTCCGGCCGTGAAGTTGATTTCCTCCAAATCCGGCCGCTCGTCCGTCTCCTCCAGGGTCCATCGCTTGGACGGAGGCCACGCAGCCTGCGCAGAGACACACGCAACCACCACAACCTTCATTTGTTTGATCCTCGCTAACTGGGGAGATGTTAACCACCTCGCCTGGTGTGCAGGAGGTCGTTGGGTTCGATCCCAAACCCTGACGATGCCTACTGCTGCTGTAGATTTGGAGTCTGTGTCTCTCTCTCCCCGTGGTGGTCACTACGTGGAATTTTGTCCAGTTTTTTCCCTCCACATTTAGAATCGACGTCACCACGTGATTAGAGTAGTTGGTCGCTGCTATAAATTAAAAAATCATGATAAGCCACTTGGGTTGGGCTATCATTTGTGCCAAGGTCGCTTCTGAAAGAGCTACAAAGCTCAATGGGCCTTACCTGGTAAAAGTAAAAGAGCAAATAGTTCAAGTGCTGCTACTTATGAAGGCCGTTACTTTACATGAGGGGGTGGGTGGCCAACACCACGCCCGGCCTACCTCTGTCTCGATCGTAGCGATGTTTACAAACCCCACCAGGTACTCATTTGAGGCCGAATCGACCTAGGGGAGGCCCAGGACCGGTTCAGATAATCGTCACTGGTGGTGTTGGCCATGAGCGGGAAATGAACCCGGGTCGCCAGGTTCATAGCGCAGCGTAATACTACTGCTCACCTACACAGGCACACACAACAACCGCCATTCGCCACTAAGTGGCGGTGACGTCACCACGACGCTTGTGCCAGGCTATGTGCACCTTGAGGCCACGTGAAGTGTCGAACGCCCGCTGGCAGGAGGTCAGGGGACAGATCCAGGTGCCACGGGTCGACTGACTGAGGTGACTGGCCGATACACCATCTGTGCCCCCTCTACTGTACCAACTTGTTGTGCTTTAGCCACCACGCGTTGTTGTGAGCGTCGCTCTTCTGCCCTTCAATGTTGCTGGAGGGTGACTGCCTCCAATTGCCCAGTAGCAGCATCTTTCACAAGCCTCCTCCACAGATGTCGATCTTGAAACCGCTGGTTCCAGCGGTGCCGTGCCCGTTCAGCCCCCTCTATCCGGCCGCACAAAAGCTGTTTAGGCATGCGGTGACCAAGTCATACAGGCTACATGACCCAGCCAACACAGTCTTGCCTGCCGGAGGAGCTCACCGATGGGACTTTGTCCAGATCCTTTCAAGGATTTGTGAGCTCCTTACACAATTCAGCCTGGTTAAACCCAGGATGGATTGTAGGCAGGCCAGCCTAAATGTTTCTAACCAGCGAAGATGTTCCATTAGGACGGGTCCACGTTTCGAAAGCGTAGAGAAGGGAAGGAATGACTGTGTGGCTCAGAAGACCCGAAGCTTCATGTGGAGCGACTGACCAGGTAGCTTCCACAAAGCGGTATGCAGCCAATGAAAATATAATGCCGATCAACTGCTTCGGAGTGAGACCTCTGTTGTCAAACCGAAGCCAGTCATGAGCTCACTGACCAGGTATGGAAAACTCTCCACTCTCTCCACAAATGCCCCATGACCTTTTGGAGTTATGGGGGTGGAGTGTTTGATAACACAAAATACTCCGGCAAGATCTTAGTTTCGGTGGGGCTGATGGTAACACCCCACCTCTTAAGTCGCACGCTGCAGGTTCAGCAGCAGCGCCTCCAACTTCTCCTCCAAGTGAGCAGCAATTATCAAATCATCGGCATACATAACGTGGCTGACCAATAGGGAGCCATCCCTTGACCGCACCCGGGCATCCATTAGCCTGTACCAGAAGGAAATTCTTCCGGTACAGCCATCGAAGGCTTCACGAACAACATGATCAAAATAGATGTTAAATAATGTGGGAGTCAAAGGACAACCCTGTCCCATCCCAAGGTGTGCAGGGAATGGCTCTGACTCCCGGCCACAGAGTTTTACCCTGGGCCTGCCCACCATCAAGAAGGTCCTAAATGATTGTGAGCAGAGTCAGGGACTCCAAAAGCACGAAGAACGACCCAGAGCCCAGGCCTACTGATGGTATAATAGGTCTTGACCAGGTCAATAAAGCAGATATGGAGGTCCTGTCGTAATCCCCGACACCTCTGCTGTAGCAGACGGACAGAAAATATGGCATCTATGCAGGACCACCCTGGCCTGAAACCACATTGGGGCTCCGCAAGCCTCTCCTGAGTGCCTGGCAAGGCGATGTTGAATAATCCTTGCCAGGACCTTTCCCGGCACACTGAGGAGTGAAATGCCCCTGTAGTTGTTACAGTCTGTGCGGTCCCCTTTCTTAAAGATGGGGAATGCCAGGGCATCCTTCCAATCCTACGGAACCCATCCAGTGGTTCAGACTGTTGTTATGATGTCATGTAGGGCAGTCTGTGCACAAACGCCACCCCCTCCCTCAGCATTTTGCTTGGGAGATCATCTCTGCCCGGTGCTTTCCTTGGTATCAAGACTCTGGATCGCCTTCTGTACTTCCTCAACAGATGACACCTCAGCCAGCCACTCACAGGGGGTGACTACTTCTTACAATATTAGAGGCACTTCAGCCTCAGCAGGGTCATCTCCAGTTTGCCCCATGATGTTTTCCAAGCTGAGGGATTTGCCCTCCCCCAAGACATCGCAGAAATGCTCAGGAAATCAGAAAACCTATTCTTGGGGGTCAGAGATCGGATCACCTTTCTTTCCCCTAATGATGTTGATAGGAATAGTGTTAAACATAACTTTTTTGATGGAGTTAAAGAGTGATTTGTGATCGTGGGCTGAGGCAGACTCCATCTCTTCAGCAACCCGCGACCACCACACATCCTTGCAGTGCCTCACGGCTCTCCGTATATCCGAGCGAAGGCTGCAGTAAGCCTCCTCATTCTCTGACGTGGCATGCTGTAGACGGTGAGAGTGCGCCTGTCACTTTTTCTCAGCCAGCCCGAACACCTCCTTTGTCAGCCAGGGTCTCTGTGGAGGTTTGGACCGTGTACCCAAAGCAGCTGCATGAGCCACAGTCCTAAACCTCACCCATTTCCCCTCGGCAAGAGGAGGAGGGGCGGGGACGATGCCAACCCCAGCTGCAGGCAATGATGAAATTCTTGCTTGTAACTTTCAAACGTTATCTGAGACTAGGCCACTGTAGGTTTGAATGGGATTCTGGATGTACACCCACCACCGGGGTGGAAGAATGGCAAGCGCATCTTACAGATGACACACAAACACAGTGACTCTCACCTTCATCTCCTCCACTTTGTTCTCTGGGACGTCAAAGCAAACTCCCTACACAGAGACAGGAGGACACGCTCGTGAGTACAACACACACTCACACACAGCAATACAACATCAACCACCTTTAGCCACTAAGTGGCGATGACGTCACCAACGGCATCTGTGCCTGGCCAGGTGCACTTTGAGGTCACATGAAGTGTTGAACATCTGCTAGCAGAAGGTCACGGGACAGACCTTGCAGGTGCCATGCGTTGAGCGACTGAGATGATTGGCCAATGCACCACCTGTGCCCCCCACTGTGCCAACTTGCTGTGTTTTAGCCACCCGTCGTTCTGCTCGTTATTGTGAGCATCGCTCTTCTGCCCTCTGTTATTGCTGGAGGGCGACTGTCTCCAACTGCCCAGTAGCGTCAAGGTGCACCTAGCCTGGAACTAGCCCAATACCAGCATCCTTCACGAGCCTCCTCCAGAGGCCGAACTTGACACCACTGGTACCAGTCATTGGCAAGTCTACTCAGCTCCACATCCTCCCGTACTGCATCAAACCACCTCTTCTCCAGCCCATGTTATGCCCGGTTAGCCCCCTCTCTCCAGAAGCTGTTTCCCCGTGTCTCTCTCCCTCCCCGTGTCTCTCTCTCCCCCCGTGTCTCTCTCTCCCCCTGTGTCTCTCCGCACCGTCTTTCCCTTGAGGAGCCTCATCCCGCGCACCATCTCCTCCGCGCGCTGCTCTCCCAGCTCCTCCTTGAGGGCTCTCCACGCCGCTGAGGAGTGGGACAGGGGCACTGAGGATCGGAGAATCAGCGTCGTGTAGCCCTGCACACACAGAGAAACGGAGAGAGATACACAGAGATAATTAGTGAGTGGTGTGTAGTGTAGTGTGTGTAGTGCAGTGTGTGTAGTGCAGTGTGTGTAGTGTGTAGAGTTGTGTGTAGTGTGTGTAGAGTAGTGTGTGTGTAGAGGAGTGTGTGTGTGCAGTGTGTGTAGTGCAGTGTGTGTAGTGCGTGTAGAATTGTGTGTAGTGCAGTGTGTGTAGAGTAGTGTGCGTGTGTGCAGTGTGTGAGAGACATGAACAGTGAGAGAATGAGCGTCGTGGAGCCCTGCGGCAGCCAAACACTCTAAACGCGCGATGTTGATTTTAAACGTGGAGGGGGAAACCCGGAGTATCCGGAGAGAGAGAGAGAGACAAGCAAACTCCAAATTTACAGCAGGCGTTGTCAGGGTCCGGATAGAATCCACGACCTCCAGCACTCCAGGCGAGGTAGTTAACATCTCCTAGCCAGCGCGTGTGAGTGACACTCCTGCCAATACTGCCGATGTGATGCTGATGTATGTGTGTTGAAGTTTTTTGGCACCGAACGTAGCCAACTACGCTAATGGGAAGTACGGGGGAAGGACAACAAACTAAACACAACAACGGGCAGTTCTAAGGAAATTCGTTTTCAATTTAGTAGTGGTGTAGTGTCGTATATAGTGTGGTATATAGTAGTGTATAGTAGTATATACTATAGTGTAGTGTACAGTAGTGTAGTATACAGTAGTTTATAATGTAGTGTATAGGAGTATAGTGTGTAGTCGGTTGTATGTCTGTATGAATGTATGTTGAATCTCTTTCGTGCCGTAACCTCGCAAATCGGAGGTAAAGGGGACAACGCTAAACACAACACAGCAGGAGGAGGAGGAAGAGAAGTGAGTGGAGTGAGAGGAGGAGTGAGTGAGTGGAGTGAGAGGAGGAGGAGTGAGTGAGTGGAGCAGTGAGAGGAGGAGTGAGTGGAGGAGTCAGTGAGTGGAGGAGTCAGTGAGTGCGTGAGTGCGTGAGTGAGCGAGTGAGTGAGTGAGCGAGTGCGCGAGTGAATGCGTGAGCGAGGGAGTGCGTGAGCGAGTGAGTGAGTGAGTGCGTGAGCGAGTGAGTGAGTGAGCGAGTGCGCGAGTGAATGCGTGAGCGAGGGAGTGCGTGAGCGAGTGAGTGAATGCGTGAGCGAGTGAGTGAGTGAGTGAGCGAGTGAATGCGTGAGCGAGGGAGTGCGTGAGCGAGTGCGCGAGTGAGTGAGTGCGTGAGCGAGTGAGTGAGTGAGCGAGCGAGTGCGCGAGTGAGCGAGTGCGTGAGTGAGTGCGCGAGTGAATGAGTGAGTGCGTGAGCGAGTGCGTGAGCGAGTGCGTGAGCGAGTGCGTGAGCGAGTGCGTGAGCGAGTACGTGAGCGAGTGCGTGAGCGAGTGAGTGAGTGCGTGAGTGAGTGCGTGAGTGAGTGAGTGCATGAGTGAGTGCGTGAGTGAGTGAGTGCGTGAGTAAATGAGTGCGCGAGTGGACGACCTTGAGGGATGTGAGCAGGGACCTGTTGTCGTCTCCCTCGTACCCCGCGAGCAGGGAGAGAGCGGCCGACAGCAGCTCCCAGGGGTCTCTGTGGGACAGCATCTTCTCCACGGAGACACGGAAGCGCGAGACGACGCGAGCAGAGACAGACTCCAGGGACCTGTGGACACGGGGACAGAGACACGGGACCGTGAGACACGGGGACAGAGGCACGGTGAGGAGACACTGAGAATGATGGTGGTACTGTAGCACTGGTACTAGTATCAGTGGTACTAGTACTGCTGGTACTGGTACCTGATGACGTCCTGTGTAGAGGCAGCGAGGACCTCATTGGCCGAGGGAACGGCGATTCTCTTGAACACGAAGCCCTGCACAGAGACACAGTGACACAGAGAGAGTGATACCGAGACACAGACACACAAACACAGACACACAAAGACACAGAGACACAGAGACACAGTGACACAGACACACAGAGACACAGTGACATAGTGACAGAGACACAGTGATACACACACCCACTCAGACACAGACACACAGAGGCAAGAACACTCTTACCCTCTCTCTCCGTATCGCACCGCCTCGCTCTCTACTGCCCTGAGGGCACCAGCGTGTATCCCTCTCGCTCTCTACTGCCCTGAGGGCACCAGCGTGTATCCCTCTCGCTCTCTACTGCCCTGAGGGCACCAGCGTGTATCCCTCTCGCTCTCTACTGCCGAGGGCACCAGCGTGTATCCCTCTCTCTCTCCGCATCGTACCGCCTCGCTCTTTACTGCCCTGAGGGCACCAGCGTGTATCCCTCTCGCTCTCTACTGCCCTGAGGGCACCAGCGTGTATCCCTCTCGCTCTCTACTGCCCTGAGGGCACCAGCGTGTATCCCTCTCGCTCTCTACTGCCCTGAGGGCACCAGCGTGTATCCCTCTCGCTCTCTACTGCCCTGAGGGCACCGGCGTGTATCCCTCTCTCTGCGTATCGTACCGCCTCGCTCTTAACTGCCCTGAGGGCACCAGCGTGTATCTCTCTCGCTCTCTACTGCCCTGAGGGCACCAGCATGTATCCCTCTCGCTCTCTACTGCCCTGAGGGCACCCGCGTGTATCCCTCTCTCTCTCTACTGCCCTCAGGGCACCAGCGTGTATCCCTCTCTCTCTCCGTATCGTACCGACTCGCTCTCTACTGCCCTGAGGGCACCAGCGTGTATCCCTCTCTCTGCGTATCGTACCGCCTTGCTCTCGATTGCCCTCAGGGTTCCAGCGTCTCTCTCCTCGTAGAAGCAGATGGATATCCCGGTCCTGCCGGCCCTCCCGGTGCGCCCACTGCGATGGATGTAAGACTCCACATCCTGCACCAGGGGTAAAGTGTGAGAGAGGGGGAGAGAAAGTGAGTGGGTAGGTGAGTGGGTGGGTTAGTGTGTGTAGGTATGTGTGTGCGTGTATGTGTATGCATGTGTGTGCATGTGTGTGCGTGTGTGTGCGTGTGTGTGCGTGTATGTGCGTGTATGTGTAGCAGTTAGCGCGCTGCGCTACGAACCCGGCGTCACGGGTTCGATTCCCGCTCACGGCCAACAACCAGTGACGATTGTCTGAACCGGTCCTGGGCCTCCCCTAGGTCGACTCAGCCTCAAGTGAGTACCTGTTGCGGCGTGTAAACATCGCCACTGGGGAGACAAAGGCGGCCGGGCGTGGTGCTGACCACCCACCCCCTCGTGTGCTGTGCCGGCCTTCATAGGTGCTCGCTAACAACACTTGCCCCTACAGTCTGTTAAGGCTACATGGGGGATCTTTGTTTTTGTGTGTGCGTGCGTCCGTACGTGCGGGGGCTGGCACTGCACCACGAGCTCCACCTCCGGCACGTCGAGGCCGCGAGCTGCCACATCGGTGGCCACCAGAACGCGGACGGCACCGGAGCGGAACGCGCGCAGACACGCCTCCCTCTGCTGTTGTGGTACGTCACCGTGCAGACACTGGGCCTCCTGTTAGACACACAGACACACAAACACTGAGACATAGACACTGAGACAGAGACACACAGACACACAAACATTGAGACACAAACACCGAGACACTGACACACAGACACTGGGCCTCCTGTTAGACACACAGACACACAAACACTGAGACACAAACACTGAGACACACACAGACACTGGGCCTCCTGTTAGACACATAGACACAGACACACTGAGACACAGACACTGAGACACACACACACCAAGCCTCCCGTTAGACACACAGACACACACACACTGAGACACGAACATACACATTGAGACACACACACAGACACCGAGCCTCCTGTTAGACACACAGACACACACACACTGAGACACACACACACCAAGCCTCCTGTTAGACACACAGAAACACACACACACTGAGACACAGACACTGAGACACACACACAGACACTGAGCTTCCTATTAGAGACAGACACACACACACACTTACACACAGACGCTGAGCCTCGATGGCCCCCACTGTGCGGTACAGTGTGGTACAGTGTGGCAGTGTGGTACAATGGTACAGTGTGGTACAGTGTGGTACAGTGCGCCACCGCACCTGCGCGATGGCCGGGCTGAGCGCGAGCTCAGCCGCCTCCCTCTTGGTCTCGCAGAAGACGATGGCGCGGCCTCGCGACGACCCCACGGAGGTGACCCCGTGACCTCCCGATGACCCCACGGGGCTGACCCCGTTACCTCCCGGTAACCCCGCAGCGTAGACCCGCAGCACGGAGCCCAGGCAGACGGCACGCTCCGAGCGTGGGCAGCACACGGCCAGATGCTGTGTCCGAGAGACACGGAGAGACACGCGGTGAGAGACACGCGGTGAGAGACACGCGGTGAGAGACACGCGGTGAGAGACACGCGGTGAGAGACACGCGGTGAGAGACACGCGGTGAGAGACACGCGGTGAGAGACACGCGGTGAGAGACACGCGGTGAGAGACACGCGGTGAGAGACACGCGGTGAGAGACACGCGGTGAGAGACACGCGGTGAGAGACACGCGGTGAGAGACACGCGGTGAGAGACACGCGGTGAGAGACACGCGGTGAGAGACACGCGGTGAGAGACACGCGGTGAGAGACACGCGGTGAGAGACACGCTGAGCGGTAAAGAGAGACGATGAGAGAGACATGTGGGGAGACATGCAGTGAGAGACACAGGGGGGAGGGGGACACGGAGACAAGGGGTGAGACAGACACGGGCGGAGAGAGACATACAGTGACACACGGAGGAGGGGGTGGGGTAGAGAGGAGGTGGGGGGGGACGTGGTGAGACATGGGGACGCACACTTCATATACGCTTAGACCGTCACCAATCTAAAACCATGAACCATTTTTATTTCACCAGGTAAAGGCCCCACTGAGCTGTGTGTAGCCCAACGAAGTGGAGTATCACCACGGAAGAAATTCATGGCTGTGAAAACTCTGAATGCATGACGCTGTTTCTAAACGCGGAGGGCAAAAACCCGAGGACCTGGAGAAAAATCCACACGACCACGGGGAGAGAGACTACACATTCCGCAAGGAGTGGCTAACCCCATATCTGCATTTGTCATCAATATGCTAAATTTCTCTGTTATGTAAACTCCTTTGTCAAGGCTCTCTCCCCTCCTCCCAACCAGCTTAAAATACGCTGCCAAGCTTAGCAGTGTTCATTGGAGCGTTTTATTTCCGACAGCTCTGTTTCTTCACCTGAGGATGGCTGCTTGCGTTGTGGCCGAAACGTCGCGAGAATTTAATTTAATTTTTATTATTTTATTATTTCCCTTCTACGTGGCTTTACCGAAATAACCAAGAATATGAATCCCTGCAGTCACGAAAGCTTTAAATCGAAATCTCCTAGCCACTACGGCGCCCAATCATTCACCCGCTCATCTAAACTGACAAAGACAAGTGCTGTTAGAGAATCGCAGCACACGAGCGGGGTAGAGGTTGCCAGCACCACGCCCGGCTGCCTTTGTCTCCCCTAGTGGCGATGTTGAGAACATTGGCTGCCTGGGCATGCGGTGGCTGGGCACGTGGGCCACAATGTGACCCAGCCAATGCAGCTTCCTCGCCTGCCACGGGAGCTCACCGATAGATCGCCTGCCAGAGGAGCTCAGTGATGAGCCCCTCTGGCAGGCGATCTATGAGCCTCACACTGCAATCCAGCCCTGCAGGTTAAACCCAGGAACGATTTTGTAGGGAGACCAACCTGAATGTTTCAAACTGGCGCAGACGTTTCTACACACACACAAAGATCCCCTGTCGAGCCTTAACAGACTGTTGGGGCAATTGCTGTTGGCGAGCAGCACCTATGATTACCGGCACTCTGGTAAACGAGGGGGGGTGGGTGGCCAGCACCACGCCCAGCCGCCTTTGTCTCCCCAGTGGCGATGTTTACACACCGCACCGGGCACTCATGTGAGGCAGAGTCGACCTAGGGGAGGCCCAGGACCGGTTCAGATAATCGTCACCACTGGTGGCCGTGAGCGGGAATCGAACTCGGGTCTCCGCCGGGTTCGTAACCCAGCGTAGCGCTAACCAGTGACACGACTACTCCCCACACACACACACCTACACACGCACCTACACACACACCCACACACATACTCTGCTCACCTATCCACATACCGGACAAGTAAACAATAACCTTCCGGGAATATCCACTCACCTAGACACAGACCCACACCAAGGTAAAGACATAGCTAGCCCGCGTAGCCTCAACCGACTGTTTGGTCAAGTGCTGTTCGTAGCAAGTAGTAACAGCGATGAAGGCCGGCACAAGGTGGGGGGGGGGGGGTGGCCAGGACCACGCCCGCCCGGCTTCGAGGCTGAGTCGACCAAGGGGAGGCCCAGGAATGGTTCAGATAATCGCTATCACTGTTGTTGGTGGCCGTGAGCAAAAATCGAAATCGGGATGCTGCCAGGTTCATAGCGCAGCGTAGCGCTAATCACTACTAGACTCCCGTTCCCTTAACTACAAAGAATAAGGGTCCCCCATATAGCCTGTAACAGACTGTTGGGGCAAGTGCTGTTAGCAAGCAGCACCTATAAAGGCCGGCACAGCACACGAGGGGGTGGGTGGCCAACACCACGCCCGACCGCCTTTGTCTCTCTAGCGGCGATGTTTACACATCGCACCAGGTACTCATTTGAGGCTGAGTCGACCTAGGGGAGGCCCAGGACCGGTTCAGATAATCGTCACCACAGGTGTTTGCCGTGAGCGGGAATCTAACCCGGGTCGCCGGGTTCATAGTGCAGCGCGCTATCGGCTACACCAGCACTCCCCACACACTCTCATTCACACACACACAGACACTCTTTCACCTACATACAAGAGCCAAGCGCGCCCCCACATGCCCCTTGACAATTGCGGGAAATGGAGATTAGATTTACATCTCCAACAACCGCAGTGCACGTTGAGTCAAGCTCAGTCAAGCTTGCAAGCAGACTCACACACACACCTCCACACGTACACGCATGCACCTACACATGTACACACACACCTACACGTGCACACTCACACGTACAAACTCACTCGTACAGACACGCAGATTCACACAGACACAAGTACACACACTCAAACATGTACACACAGACAAGTACTCACACACTCACATGTACACACGGCCAGACACACAAACACTCACGTACACACACACTGACACGTACACACATTCACACACAAACACGCACGTACACACACACTGACACGTACACACATTCACACACAGACAAACACTCACGAAACACACACACACACGTATACAGACACACATACACACAGAGCCACACATCCACACAGAGACACACATACACACACTGACACACTGACAAGACAAATATTCCCCGTATAGCCTGTAACAGACTGTTCGGGCAAGTGCTGTTATCGAGAAACTATGAAGGCTGGCACGACACACGAGGGGGTAGGTGGCCAGCACCACGCCCGGCCGCCTTTGTCTCCCGAGCGGCGATGTTTACACATCGCACCAGGTACTAATTTGAGGCTGAGTCGACCTACGGGAGGCCCAGGACCGGCTCAGATCATCGCTATCACTGATGTTGGCCGTAAGCGGGAATCAAACCCGGGTCGCCGGATTCATAGAGCAGCGAGCTGATCGCTACACTACCGCTCGCCCCACACACAGACACACACACAGACACTCACTCACTCGCGCTCAGATTCTGAGAAGCTGTGACAATGGGGCTGCTGCTGCTGCTCTGCTGGGGGGGGGGGGTTTACAGGAACTGAGTGACAAGAGGAAGTCTCAGCTGGGACTCAACATCATCAACATCACAACTCAGCATCATCAACAACATTGTCGTTGTCACCATCACTCAACATCATAAACATTATCATCATCACCATCACTACTCAACAACATCACCACCACTCACGACCACTCACCATTATCAACATCAACACTGACCACCAACAAAACCACTCACCATCACTCAACAACATCACCACCACCACTCAACATCAACACCATCACGAACATTACAATCACTAACATCAACACCACCACAATCACTCAACATCAACACAAACATCACCACTATCACAAACATCACCACTACCGCCACCATCAGAGGGGGTGACCATGCGACACATTCAAGGCTGAGCACACTGAGAGGAGCAGAGGTCGCAACCGGGTACCCGATACCCAGCCGGGTACGGGTAGGCCGTGAGTCACTGGTGAGTAGCCGTTTGTCACTCATTTCGGGTAGGGTACGGGTAGGGAACGGGTACCCATTTGCGACCCTGGTGCGGCCGGGTACAGGTACGGGTAAGGAATCAAAACCCGTTTGCGACCTCTGCTGAGAGGTGAAGGAGGAGGACGGATCCTCCGGATGTGCCGATGATGCCACTGGGAGGTGGCCATGAGTCGGGAATCGATTTGCATGGCCAGAAATTTTTGCCCGCCCACCCCCAGCACGACGGACACACAAAGACAAAGCTGCCCCAGGTAGGCCACATAGCCCTGTGGGTGGGCCAAGTGCTGTGAAGCGAGCAGTATCAGCGGCAGCGGTGGCAGTGAAGGCCGATCGCCCAGTGGCCTCACTCACCAACTCTCTCGCTCACTGATCCACTCACTCAACCACACACCCACCCATTCACTCAGCCACTCATCAACTCACTCACCTACTCAACCACCCACTCACCCACTCAACCACCTCACTCACTCACTCAACCACCTCACTCACTCACTCAACCACCTCACTCACCCACTCAACCACCCACTTATTAACCACTCACCTACTCACTAATGCACAAACTCACTCACTAACCCACCAACTCACTCGCTCACTCACCTACCTCACTCACTAATTCGCCAACTCAATCACGAAGCAACTCACTCAATCACTTACTTACACACTCACCCACTCAATCACTCACTCAACCACTCACTTACCCACCCGCTTACTCACCCAATTACTCACTAATCCATTCACTCACACACACACCCATTCATACACCCACTCCCCCACTCACACACCCAACCACTCACACACTCTCACCAACTCAATCACCCACACACTCACTCACTCAACCACTTACTTACCCACCCGCTTACTCACCCAATTACTCACCCAATTACTCACTAATCCATTCACTCACCCACACACCCATTCATACACCCACACCCCCACTCACACACCTAACCACTCACACACACTCTCACCAACTCAATCACCCACACACTCACTCACCCACCAGCACTGGGGAGAGACAAAGGCGGCCGGGAAAGTGTTGCAAGCCTCACCACTCACTCACTAACGTTGCCCTGACAGCCAGCGACGGCTACATGGGGCTGCTTTGTATGTGTGGGTGAGCGTGCAGCGCCACCTGGTGTTTGATTGAGTGCAGGTGAGTGAGTGGGTGTGTGGATGAGTGCGTGAGTGCATGGGTGAGTGCGTGAGTGTATGGGTGAGTGAGCGGTTGAGTGAATGGGTGGGTGAGTCGGTGATTGTGTGAGTGAGTAGGTGGGTGAGTGCGTGGGTGAGTAGGTGGGTGAGTGCGTGGGTGAGTGAGTAGGTGATTGTGTGGGTGAGTGCATGAGTGGATGAGTGAGTGTGTGGGTGAGTCAGTGATTGTGTGGGTGAGTGAGAGGATGAGTGAGTGTGTGGGCGAGTTGGTGAGTAGGTGTTTGTGTGGGTGAGTTGGTGAGTGGATGAGTCAGTGTGTGGGTGAGTCAGTGATTGTGTGGGTGAGTGAGTGGATGAGTGAGTGTGTGGGTGAGTCAGTGAATAGGTGATTGTGTGGATGAGTGAGTGTGTGGGTGAGTTGGTGAGTGGATGAGTGAGTGTGTGGGTGAGTCAGTGAGTAGGTGATTGTGTGGGTGAGTTGGTGAGTGGATGAGTCAGTGTATGGGTGAGTCAGTGATTGTGTGGGTGAGTGAGTGGATGAGTGAGTGTGTGGGTGAGTCAGTGAGTAGGTGATTGTGTGGGGTGAGTCCCTGTGTCTCACCTGCACGGTGGTGGCTGCTCGGGTCTTCTCAGTGCCCATGAGGTCCACACGTCTCCACGTCTCCTTCATGAACTTCTGGGCGACCTTGAACACCCAGGGAGGGCACGTGGCTGAGAAGAGCAGAGTCTGTGGGTTGTTTTCTGGGGATGCTGCGGAGACAAGGTGGGGAGACACGGTGGGGAGACACGGTGAGAGGGACACGGGGAGAGAGAGACACAGCGAGAGAGACACGGAGAAAGATGCGGGGAGAGAGAGAGACGTGGGGAGAGAAATACACAGTGAAACACGGGGCGACACACACAGGGAGAGACACATGGGGAGAGACACACGGGGAGGGACAAACACACACAGAGAAAGACAGATTGCCTCTCTCTCTGTCTCTATCCGTCTATCTCTGTCTATGTCTCTCCGGCCGTCGCTGGCACTCACCCTTGCTGTAGATGCATCCCAGGATCTCCTCCACCTGATCGGCAAAGCCCATGTCCAGCATCTGGTCCACCTCGTCCAGCACCACGTGGCGTACGCCATCCTCCTTCCCTCCGCTCTTCTTTGCCCCCTTCTTCTCCTCCTTCTCCACCTCCTCCACCACCTCCTCATCCTTCTTCTTCTTGATGGAGTCCTCCTCTTCGTTGGTGTGCTTCGCGCGGAGCCTCAGGCCGTGGTTCTGGATGAGGTCGCGGAGTCGGCCCGGCGTGCCCACCAGCACGTCCAGCCCAGAACGGATCTGCTGCACTGTGGGGGTGAGGAGAGGGGTGAGGAGAGGGGGGGGGGGGGGGTGAGGGGGGAGAGGGGAGCGCGGCGAGACGCGAACAAAGATGCCACTGCGAATGGTGATGGTGATCACCATGGTGAGTGTCCGTACGAGTGAGTGGCAAGTAATTAGCGAGTGGTGGAGCGACACACTCTGGGGCCCGTATGCTGTGCCCCAGTCGAAGCAGGCCACGCGTAGAGGGGTGAGTGAGTGTCTGCGTAAGTGAGTATCTGTGTGAGTGTCTGTGCGAGTGTCTGTGTGAGTGTCTGGGGAAAGAACTGTGATCCAATCTCTGACCCCCAGGAACATGTTTGCAGATTTGCTGAGCATTTCTGTGAGGTCCTGGGGGAGGGGATATCCCTCAGCCTGGAAAACATCGTGGGGCAAATGGGGATAACCCTGCTGAGGCTGCCGTGCCTCAAATATTGGAAGAAGTAGCCACCCCCTGTGAGTGGTTGGCTGAGGTGCCATCTGTTGACGAAGTACAGAAGAGTCTGAGACCAGGAAAAGCACCCTGCAGAGATGATCTCCCAAGCAAAATGCTGGATGGGTTCTGCAGGATTGGAAGGATGCCCTGGTGGTCCCCCACTTTAGAAAGGGGGACCCCCCACAGACTGTAACAACTACTGGGGCATCTCCCTCCTCAATTTGCCGGGAAAGGTCCTGGCAAGGATTATCCAACATCGCCTTGCTAGGCACGCTGAGGAGCGGCTTGCGAAGCCCCAATGTGGTTTCAGGAAAAGGCAGTCTTGCACAGATGCCATATTTTCTGTCCATCTACTACAGCATCTTTGCTTTATTGACCTGGTCAAGGCCGATGATACCATGAGTAGGCCTGGGCTCTGGGTTGTTCTGCATGCTTTCGGAGTCCTTGACTCTCTACTGACAATCAATAAGAACTTCTTGATGGAGAGCAGGCCCGGGTGCTACTACGTAGCCGGGAGTCGGAGCCATTCCTTGTTCATCTTGGGGTGCGACAGGGATTTCCTCTGGCTCCTACATTATTTAACATATATTTTAACCACATAGTTTGTGAAGCCTTCGATGGTTGTACAAGAATAATTTTCATTTGGTACAGATACAATGGGAGGCTAACCGATGCCCGGATGCATTCAAGGGATGTCTCCCTATTGGTTGACCATGTTATGTATGCCGATTATATTATCTGGTGATTTCTGCTCAATCAGAGGAGGAGTTGGAGGCCCTGCTGCTGAACCTGGAGTGTGCCACTAAGAGGTGGGGGCCTTACCTTCAAAACCACCAAAACTAAGCACCTGCCTGGGTATTTTGTACCATCTCCACCCCCAAAACTCCCCATTGGTGATGGGGCAGTTGTGGAAAGAGTGGAGAGTTTCCCATACCTGGGAAGTGTGCTCATGACCGGCTCCGATTTAACAGCAGAGGTCTCACTCCGAATCAGTCGAGTGGCATTATCTTTTCATTGGTTGCGTAATGCTGTGTGGAAGCTGCATGGTCTGTCGCTCCACACGAAGCTTCAGGTCTTCTCGGCCAGTCACGCCCTCCCTTTTCTACACCTAATGGAACATCTTTGCCGGTTAGAAACATTGAGGCTGGCCTGCTTATGATCCTGGGTTTAACCAGGCTGAATTGTGTGAGGAGCTCACAAATACTTGAAAGATCTGGACAAAGTCCCATCGGTGAACTCCTCCGGCAGGCAAGGCTGCGTTGGCTGGGTCATGTAGCCCGCATGCCCAGCCACTACATGCCCAGCCACCGCATGCCTAAACAGCTTTTGTGCGGCCGGCTAGAGTTTGCTAAACGGGCGCGGCACGGGCTAGAGAAGAGATGGAGTGATGTGGTACAAGAGGACGTGGAGCTTAGTGGACAGCGATGTCAAGATCGGCCTCTGTAGAGGAGGCTCGTGAAGGACGCTACTGAAGAGTTGGAGGAAGTCGCCCTCCAGCAACAACGGAGGGCAAAGGAGCGACGCTCACAGCAACGAGCGGGACGCTTGGTGGCTAAAGCACAGCAAGTTGGCACAGTAGGGGGCACAGGTAGTGCATCGGCCAGTCATCTCAGTCAGTCGACCCATCGCACCTGGGTCTGTCCCGTGACCTCCAGCCAGTGGGCGTTCGACACTTTATGTAGCCTTAACGTGCACATAGCCTGGCACAAGCGCCGTGGCGATGTCACCACAACTTTGTGGCGAATGGCGGTTGTTGTTGTTCTTGTCTGTGTGAGTGAGTGTCTATGTATAAGTGAGTATCCGTACGTATGCCTGTCTGTATATATGAGTGTCTGTATGATTGAGTATCTATGCGAGTGATTGTCTGTATGAATGAGGGTTTGTGCGAGTGATTGTCTGTATGTATGTATAAGTGTTTGTATGTTGTGCCTGTATGAGTGAGTAGTGAGTTCGAAACAAGTGAGTGAGTAGTGAGTGTCTGTGTGAGTGAGTAGCTAGTGAGTAGTGAATAGCTGGTGAGTAGTGAATGAGTGTCTGTATGAGAGAGTAGCTAGTGAGTGAGTAGTATACGAGTGAGTGTCTGTGTGAGCAGCGAGTGAGTAGTGAATAGCTGGTGAGTAGTGAATGAGTGTCTGTATGAGTGAGTGTCTGTCTGAATGAGTAGCTAGTGAGTAGTGTATGAGTGAGTGTTATGATTTGAATTGTCTCACGCTGGGGCCCGTAGGCCGTGCCCCCGTAGAAGCAGGCGACGCGTAGAGGGGCCGCGATGGCTCGGAGGTCGTCGGCCACCTGCACGGCCAACTCCCTTGTGGGGCACATCACCAGCACCTGCAACATCAACACCATCACTGTCAACATCACCAGCACCATCAACACAAAACAAAGCTCTCCCCCGTATAGCCTGTAACAGACTGTTGGGGGCAAGTGCTATTAGCGAGTAGCACCAATTATGAAGGGCGGCACTGTGGCACAAAAGAGGGGGTTGGGTGGCCAGCACCATGCCCGGCCGCCTTTGTCTCCCCAGCGGCAATGTTTACACACCGCACCAGGTACTGAGTAGACCTAGGCCCAGGACCGGTTCAGATAATCGCTATCACTGGTGTTGGCCGTGAGTAGAAATCGAACTCAGGTCTCTCCCGGGATCGTAGTGCAGCGTGCTAACCACTACGCTACCGCTCCTCAACAACCGCTATTCGCCACTAAGTGGCGGTGACGTCACCATGGCGCTTGTGCCAGGCTATGTGCACATGAAGTGTCGAACACCCGCTGGCAGGTCACGGGGCACACACAGGTGCCATGGGTCGACTGACTGAGATGAGTGGCCGATGCGCCGCCTGTGCCTCCTATTGTGCCAACTTGCTGTGCTTTAGCCACCCGGAGCTCCGCTCGTTGTTGTGAGCGTAGCTCCTCTGCCCTCCGTTGTTGTTGTAGGGCAACTGCCTCCAACTGCCCAGCAGCGTCCTTCACGAGCCTCCTCCACAGAGGCCGATCTTGACACCGTTGGTACCAGTCATCGGCAAGTCCACTCAGCTCCACATCCTCCTGTACCACATCACTCCATCTCTTCTCTAGCCTGTGCTGTGCCAGTTTAGGCCCCTCTATCCGGCCGAACAAAAGCTGTTTAGGCATGCGGTGGCTGGGAATGTGGGCTACATGACCCAGCCAATTGCAGCCTTGCCTGCCGGAGGAGCTCACCGATGGGACTTTGTCCAGATCTTTCAAGGATTTGTGAGCTCCTCACACAATCCAGCCTGGTTAAACCTAGGATGGATCGTAGGCTGGCCAGCCTAAATGTTTCTAACCGGCGAAGATGTTCCATTAGGGGGGTCCACGTTTCGCAAGCATAGCGAAGGGAGGGCATGACTGTGGCCGAGAAGACCTGAAGCTTCGTGTGGAGCGACAGACCAGGTAGCTTCCACACAGCATTACGCAACCAATGAAAAGATAATACCGCTCGACTGATTCGGAATGAGACCTTTGCTGTCAAATGGGAGGCGCTCATGAGTCCACTGCCCAGGTATCGGAAGCTCTTCACTCTCTCCACAACTGCTCCATCACCAATTGGGAGTTTTGGGGGTGGAGTGTTCGATGGTAGAAAATACCCAGGCAGGTGCTTAGTTTTGGTGGGGCTAATGGAAAAAGCCCCACCTCTTGGTGGCAAGCTCCAGGTTCAGCTGCAGCATCTCAAACTCCTCCTCTAAGTGAGCAGCAATCACCATATGATCAACATGGTTGACCAATAGGGAGCCATCCCTTGACCGCACCCGGGCATCCATTAGCCATTGTATCTGTACCAGATGGAAATTCCTCCGATACAGCAATCGAAGGATTCACGACCTACGTGGTCAAAATAGATGTTAAATAATGTGGGAGCCAGAGGACATCCCTGTCGCACCGCAAGGTGAACAGGGAATGGCTCTGACTCCCGGCCACATAGTTTTACCTGGGCCCGCTCACCATCATGAAGGTCCTTAATGATCGTGAGCAGAGTCAGGGACTCCGAAAGCATGAAGAACAACCCAGAGCCCAGGCCGACTGATGGTATCGTAGGCCTTGACCAGGTCAATAAAGCAGAGATGTAGATCCTGTTGGAATTCCCTACAACTCTGCTGTAGCAGACGGACAGAAAATATGGCATCTGTGCAGGACTGCCCTTTCCTGAATCCACATTGGGGCTCTACAAGCCTCTCCTCAGCGTGCCTGGAAAGGCGATATTGAACAATCCTTGCCAGGACCATTCCCGGCAAATTGAGGAGTGAGATGCCTCTGTAGTTTTTACAGTCTGTGCGGTCCCCCTTCTTAGGGAGGGGGACCACCTGGGCATCCTTCCAATCCTGTGGAACCTGTCCAGTGGTCCAGACTGTTGTTATGATGTCATGTAGGGCAGTCTGTGCACAAACGGCACCATCCCTCAGCATTTGGCTTGGGAGATCATCTCTGCCCGGTGCCTTTCCTGGTCTCAGACTTTGGATCGCCTTCAGTACTTTAACAGATGGCACCTCAGCCAGCCACTCACAGGGGGTGACTTCTTCCTCCAATATTTGAGGCACCGCAGCCTCGACAGGGTCATCGCCACTTTGCCCCATGATGGTTTCCAGGCTGAGGGATTTCCCCTCCCCCAGGACCTCACAGAAATGCTCAGCAAATCTGTGAACCTGTTCCTGGGGGTCAAAGATCAGATCACAGTTCTTTCCCCTAATGATGGTAATAGGTATGGTGCTGCAAGTTACTTTTTTTATGGAATTAAAGAGCGATTTGTGATCGCGGGCCACTAAGGCAGATTCCATCTCCTTAGCAACCCGCAACCACTACCCATCCTTGCAGCGCCTCACGGCTCTCTGAACCTCCGAGCGAAGGCTGCGGCAAGCCTCCTCATTCTCTGACGTGGGATGCTGTAGATGATGAGAGTGGGCCTGTCACTTTTTCTCAGCCAGCCTAAACACCACCTCATGTCAATCAGGTTCTCTGGGGAGGTCTGGACCGTGTAACCAACGCAGCCATTGCAGCTGCATAAGCCAGTCCTAAACCTCACCCATTTCGCCTCAAAATCAGGAGTGGCGGACGATGCCAACCCCAGCTAGAATCGATGATGAAATTCTCGCTTGCAACTTTCATCAGCTAGCTGAGACCATGCCACTATGGGTTTGAATGGGGTCCTGGGTGTCCACCCACCACCGGAGTGGAAGAATGGCAGGCGCATTTTACAGATGACAGGTCGATAGTGAGTGGGCAGATAAGCTCCACAGTAGGTCCTGGTATCAAGGACATGGGCCCGCATCCGCTGTTCCGTCACTACGTAGTCCAGCAGATGTTCTTGCTTGGACCCGGCATGCATCCATGATGTTGTGTGGATGGGCTGATGCCGGAACAGCGTGTTGGTAATTATAAGCCCATGGGCTGCACAAAAATCTAGCAGCCTCCTACTATTGTTATTGAGCTGATCTGGCCCTTGCATTCCAATCACTCCAGACCAGGTGCCAGCATCATGACCAACTCGGGCATTAAAGTCACCCAACACGATGGGTCTATCCCGAGGGGCCACTTTAGCTAGCACCTGTGACAGGAGGTCATAAAAGGCATCGTGGACTCATCGGCCTTGCCTGTATCCCTCCACGGATGTTAGTCTTCGGTGGGGACATAAGTAACCACGACCACCACTCCTCGCCTCTGTTTGATGGGAAGACGAGCCCAAACTAGACTGGTGCTTACAGCTTTCCACACTTCACCGCTACGCTCCCTTCATTCTTTTGTTCAGAAGAAGAGCCCCTCCATTTTGTTTGGCAGTCTCCTGCCCCGAGTAGAGGACCGTCCATCCCTCATGGTGGCAGGAGCCAGAGCCGGTCCACCGGACCTCCTGAATACCAGAGATCCAGGCGGTACCGGTCCAGCTCCCGGCAGAGGAGTGGCAGCCTCTCCTCCGCAGTGGGCGTTTGAACATTCCACGTGGCTACCTGCAGTGGTTTTTTGCCGTTTCTGGAGGAACCCCGAGGGTAAGCATTTAATCTCCTGGCTCCGCCAAATGGGGTTTGGCCAGGAGACGTCATGGACGCCTGTCCCCCCGGGGCCTCCGGCACAAGCTTAATTATATTTTTATTCCATGGTATTGTGATTTTAAGGTGGAGGGGTTACCAGCCCTCACACCCGTCCAAAGCCCCCATTTAGCTGCTGTGGTGGCTACAAACGCCATGAGGGGAGTGGCCAATCTAAATTGGCCCTCCCCCCACGGCACCGCTCACCACAGCGCTGGAGTCCGGCACCAACAATGGGGGTTGTTTTGCCGGACTACCGCTCCTCACACACACTCACAATCACATATACAGATGCACGTACTCCACCAGCACCACCATAATCAACATCTTCAATAGCGACACATCATCACCTACCCCATCATCACCTGCACCACCACCACCACCCATCAATGAAATCATCAACATTATCTGCGTCTCCCCGTATCTCCTCCGTGTCTCTATCCCTCCCCATGTCTCTCTCTGCCTCTCTCTGTCTCTCTCCCCATGTCTCTTTCCCCGTGTCCCTGTGTCTTCGTGTCTCTCTCCCCGTGTCTCTCTCCCCGCGTCTCTCTCCCCGCGTCTCTCTCCCCGCGTCTCTCTCCCCGCGTCTCTCTCCCCGCGTCTCTCTCCCCGCGTCTCTCTCCCCGCGTCTCTCTCCCCGCGTCTCTCTCCCCGCGTCTCTCTCCCCGCGTCTCTCTCCCCGCGTCTCTCTCCCCGCGTCTCTCTCCCCGCGTCTCTCTCCCCGCGTCTCCGTGTCTCTCCCCCCACCTGTGGGAGCCGGCCGTATTTGGATGCGTTGCCCGTCCCGTGTCTCTGCCGCAGCAGCTCCACCAGGGGGATGGCGAAGGCCAGCGTCTTGCCGGTTCCCGTTCGGGCTTGGGCCACCAGGTCCCAGCCGGCCATGATGGGCTCCAGGGAGAGGCACTGCACGGGGAACAGATACGACACCCCACGGCCTGTACACAGAGAGTGGGGGTGGTGGGAGGAGAGGACACAGGGTGAGTGGGTGGGTGAGTGGGTGGGTAGGTTAGTGAGTGTGTGGGTGAGCATGTGTGTGCGTGAGTGTGTGGGGAGTGGTAGTGTGGTGGTTAGCGTGCTGTGGTACGAACCCAGTGGCCCGAGTTCGATTCCCACTCACGGCCAACACCGGTGACGATTATCTGAACCGGTCCTCAAATGAGTACCTGGTGCGGTGTGTAAACATCGCCACTAGGGAGACAAAAGTGGCCGGGCATGGTGTTGGCCACCCACCCCCTCGTGCGCCGCACCGGCCTTCATAGGCGTTCGCTAACAGCACTTGCCCCAACAGTCTGTTAAGGCTATGGGGGGTCTTTGAGTGTGTGTGTGAGCGTGTGGGTGAGTTACCACGCAGGAGGGTGATGGTTTTATCAGAGATGTTGAAGTTGGAAAACGCTCCGGCAATCTGCTCCTCGGAGAGAACCTACAGAGAGAGAGTCGCACATGGAAGAGAGAAGGGGAGAGAGTGAGAGGGAGAGAGGGAGGGGGAAAGAAAGTGCCGTGTTAGAATTGTCCAACTCCTCCGTACTGAACCTGACGCACAAATCGGAGGGGTCCCAACGTAGCGGACCCAGGCTTCACCTCCAATCTCAACGTTTACTTGCACAGCGATCTGTCCCATTCCCTGCTGAACATCAGGGTCCCACACGACCTCCGTGCTGGTCACGTGGGTTGAGGGGAGGAAGAGGAAGGGGTGGAGGAGGAGGTGGAGGAGGAGGTCTAGGAGGAGGGGGTGGAGCAGGAGGAATGAAAGTGGAGGAGGGGGTGGAGGAGGGGGTGGAGCAGGAGGAATGAAAGTGGAGGAGGAGGTGGAGGAGGAGGATGAGTGAAAGTGAAGGAGGGGGTGGAGGATCAGGAGGAGTTGGTGCAAACCTCACCTCTGCATTGCCTCCCCCCTCCACCTCTTCGCCGGAGAGCGAGGAGGTGGTGGAGGAGATGGAGGCGGCGGAAAGGGGGGCCTCCTCTTCCTTGGCGCTCGCGGGGGAAGGAGGGGAGGTGGGAGGGAGCTTCCGTTTCTTGGATGAGGATTTGGGTTTCTTCGGCTCCTCTTCAACCTCCTCCTCCACAACCTGGGCAGCAACAGCAGCATCACCATCATTAGAGATTCAACATGGTAGCCTCAACAGACTGTTGCGGCAAGTGCCGTGAGCGAGCACCCAAAATAAAATATTTTAAATAACATTTTATTTTACCAGGTGTAAGGACCCCCACTCAGCTGTGTAGATATTTTTATTACACGCTTTTATTGAACTCACTCTGTCTGTTGTATCCTCAACTCTGTCTGTTGTCGTATCCTCAAATCTTGTAACTCAATTTTAACCTACTTCCCAATGTAGTATCACTGCAAACTTGGTATACGTATGTCATACTGATGACAATACTATATTCTATCATAAAAAAATATATTTTTTAAGCAATCTTTTTGCTATCTTATATTTCGGCTTGGGTCTAATTGTCCACGGTCAACTGACGTTGGCTGTAAATCACCACGGTTCCCTACGTTGTGGCAAGCTTCGGGGCCACTTCCTTGAGTCGTGGAGTTCTACCATTACTCGTACGGTACATTTCATTTAAGCGTGTTTTTAAAAAAGTATTTTTAAATATTACTTATTTATTTCAGAAGCGACCACCCTGGCTATCACAAATGATAACAGCGCAATGAAGTTGTTCATCATCGTGTGGAAATTTATAGCAGCAGCGAAATACTCTGAAATGCATGCGCTGTGCCAGCCTTCATTCGGTGGCTGGCTAGGAGATGGTATCTCCCTCGCCTGGTAAGTAATCTCGACCCCGACACCTGTATATTTGGGGTTTGCATGTTCGCCACGTGATCACGTGGATGTTTCTCCGGGTCCTCCGGTTTTTCCCTCCACGTTTAGAATCAACATCGTGCGTTTAAGAGCATTTTGCTGATATACATTTCCACATGATGATGATGAAAAGCCGCTCCGTTGAGCAAGCATTTGCGACGGTCAGGTCGCTTCTGAAACAATAGCTGCATAGCCCAGTGGTGCCTTACCTGGTAAAATAAAATCAAAATAGTTGATAGTCATTTAGTTTAGTTTTTAACGACACATTTATATTTATGCGATCTGACCTAAAAGAAAAACTTCATTATGCTAAGACAGATTCAAGTAAGAACGCGAGTGCCTCCGATTGCCCGGTCACTAGATGCGGAGCGTTCCACAGTCTGGGAGCTGTGCTGGCAACAAATATCATCAACTAAACTATTCTTTATTTTTCCAGGTGTAAGTCCCCACTGTGCTGTGTAGCTCTATTTCAGAAGTGACCCTGGCCACCACAAGTGATAGGTCAACCAAGTGGCCGATATCAGCTCACGTGGAAATGTATAGCAGCAAATACTCTGAACACGTTTAAATTTTTACTCCTTTGAATCGCTTTTCTGAAGATATTTATTTTTTATGGTCTTCATTTTTTGTTCCCAGAGGGTTCATTGATCGCGGGCTACTGAAGCAGTTTCCATCGTCATCATCATCATCATCGTTGCCACCACCATCACCGCCACCAAATAACTACCGCCATCATCACCACCATCACTACAATCAGCACCATCAATCAGCACCATCAATCAGCACCATCAATCAGCACCATCAATCAGCACCATCAATCAGCACCAGCATCACACTCATCACCACAATCACCACAATCGCCACCGTCACCTGTGCTTCTTCAGTCTCCTCGCTCTTTCTCTTCTTCTTTTTCTTTGGAGACTGTGGGAGGCAGCATACAGTAACATCACCATGCAGCCCGTGCCAGGCTAGGTGCATGCAGAGACACAGTTCTCCATGTCTCTTTCTCCCCGTGTCTCTCTTCCCGTCTCCTCCTCCCCACGTGTCTCTCTCCACCCGCGTCTCTCTCCACCAGCGTGTCTCTCTCCCCCCACGTCTCTCGCCCCCCGCGTCTCTCTCCCCACGTCTCTCTCCCCACGTCTCTCTCCCCACGTCTCTCTCCCCACGTCTCTCTCCCCACGTCTCTCTCCCCACGTCTCTCTCCCCACGTCTCTCTCTCCCCGCGCGTCTCTACCCCCGCGCGTCTCTCTCCCCGCGTGTCTCTCTCCCCGCGTGTCTCTACCCCCGCGTGTCTCTCTCCCCCCGCGTGTCTCTCTCCCCACGTCTCTCTCCCCCCGCGGTCTCTCCCCGCGCGTCTCTCTCCCCGCGCGTCTCTCTCCCCGCGTGTCTCTACCCCCGCGTGTCTCTCTCCCCGCGTGTCTCTCTCCCCCCGCGTGTCTCTCTCCCCACGTCTCTCTCCCCGCGTGTCTCTCTCCCCGCGTGTCTCTCTCTCCGCGCGTCTGTCCCCCCGTGGCTCTCCCCCGCGCGTCTCTCCCCCCGCGCGTCTCTCCCCCCGCGCGTCTCTCTCCCTCCGCGCGTCTCTCTCCCCGCGCGTCTCTCTCCCCGCGCGTCTCTCTCCCCCCGCGCGTCTCTCCCCCCGCGCGTCTCTCTCCCCCCGCGCGTCTCTCTCCCCCCGCGTCTCTCCCCCCCGCGTCTCTCTCCCCCCCCCGTCTCTCTCCCCCCGCGTGTCTTCTGTCTCTCCCTGTATCTCACCTTCTCAGGGACGGTCTGTGTCTCCTCCTCCTCCTGGCGTCTCTCTCTCTTCTTTGTCTTCTTTGCTCTCTTCACCTCCTCCGGTGTTTCCTCCTCCTTCTCCTCCTCCATCGTGGTCTCTGCGTCTCCTCCCTTCTGCCTCCGCCGTTTTTCTCCCTTCACCTTCTTTGGCTCCTAACATCCGGGAACACGGAGCGTCTCGCAATGTCACAATCACAACATTCCGTTGATGCTGCAGGAGGGGTACGATGAGCTGTGAAGCTCCTTTGTGAAAGATGGGTCCAGTCGGGGCACAATGGGTAGTCACAACGTTACCACAACAAACACGAAAAGAGAGCAACACTGAGACCTCCTTTACCAGTGGCAAAATATAGTAGTAGGTTTTTAACCTTTAAACTGGTACAAAACTGACACCTTTATACAAGGCATCATGTTTGCAATAACCGCAACACAAGCAGTCAAAATGCAAACATGATGCCTTGTATAAAGGTGTCAGTTTTGTACCAGTTTAAAGGGTAAAAACCTACTACTACTAGGAGAGCAACAGTTTAGGAAAGGTAAACAAATCACTTTAAGAAAATATACAAATGAAACGAATACGTTTTATCTTAACAGGTAAATCCCACTGAGGTTTGTCTATATATATATAAAAGGGAAATTTGTGAATGTGTGTGTCTACTCTTTGGTTCTTTCGGTAAAGTCACGTATAAAGAGAAAATAATAAATTAAGTACTAGCATACGACGTTTCGATTGCAACACAAGCAATCATCATCAGATATGATTGAAATAGAAACACAAATCTAGTATACTTAGAAATGTAATGTAATACAACAGAGAGTCGGATAACATAACAGTCAACACCCTACCTGGTTGATTACGTTCTTCCTGAGAATGCTAAATTTGAGAGAGAGATAAAACACAGAACCTGAGACATATAGACAGACATATAAGTAGAGACAGATATCACAGAGATACATAGAGAGAGACGTACATAATTTATTATTTCCTCTTTATACGTGACTTTACCGAAAGAACCAAAGAGTAATTCCTGCAGTCACGAAAGCTCCAAATTAAGTATGAATGTGTGTGTCTGTTTGAAATGTTTAGCATACTTCCCAACATGCTACAAACTTGAAATTTGGCATGTGGGTAGCTCCCATACTGTACACAATGTAAAACGTATAAGAATAGACTTTTGTATTTTGGGGGGGGGGGGGGGGGGTGGAATGACCATGAAGTGTGCGGCATCAACCCACATACAGGACAGGCGAGAATCGATATCTGGTGAGCGTTTGTGGTATCGATTAAACGGGAATAGGCCGATTCTTAGGAAATCTACAACCTTCGATTCCTTTGCTCGATTTAAAGAATCAATTCTTGGCGCGCGAGCGTAAGTTTTTTTCTACCGCGCGTTGTTTTATTTTATTTTAATCAGGTAATGATCAAAGTTTTATTTTCATTTATCATTAAATTGCTTTAAAAATATATAATTATATGAATTATAAACAATAGGGTTATTCTTCTTCTTGGTTCTTTCGGTAAAGTCACGTAGAAGGGAAAAAATTTAATTATACTAATAAAACATAATAGTATACTTTATTTAATATTATGTTTTATTTTTATTATTTTATTATTTCCCTTCTACGTGACTTTACCAAAAGAACCAAGAAGATGAATCCCTGCAGTCACGAAAGCTTTAAATCGAAATTTAATAGGGTTATTGTATGCAAACTTTACAAGTAGCACGTTAAACGTTTCCCCCAAGTAACATGGCTAAACGGTACAATGCCAATGGGTCTTTTATGTTAAAATTTATTTCGTTAAATTATTATTGCAAGTACTTTTAATTCTTACCTATAAAAGTCATGTTTTGCCTGTGTGTCTCTCCGTCTGACGGTCTGTGCACGCAACTTGCGACGCTTTTAACTCACAAACTGGGGTTTACATTTCTAACTTTAAAGTAGTTAAATTGATAATTTAGTACTATTAATGATTATATTACTACGCTGAGCGCACGCCAAAGCACGCATCTTCGCATGCACGAAACGTCGTGGTTCCCATAGCAACACACACGCGAGATCGGTGTGGGCGAGGAAACATTATCATTCGCTTTAATGCAAAAAAATATCTATTTAAAAAAACTTTTTTAAAAACACGCTTTTTTAAACATGACTGTACTACTAATGGGAGAACTCCACGACTCCAGGAAATGGCCCAAAAGCTTGCCATAACGTAAGGGACCGTGAGCAATTACAGCCAACGTCAGTTTACCGTGGACAATTAGACCCAAGCCGAAACATAACATAAAAAATAATGTAAAAAAATAATTATTTTTTTTATAATATATCGTATTGTCATCAGTATGACATAAGTATACCAAGTTTGCAGTCGATACCACATTGGGAAGTGGGTTAAAATTGAGTTACAAGATTTGAGGATACAACAACGACAACAGAGTGAGTTAAATAAAAGCGTGTAAAAAAAGACAACGCTGAGGTAATTCTTCAAAGTGTGATGTTGTCCTCTTCTCCCCCTCCCACCCCAATGTGTGCAGTTACTACTATAGTCGGTATATACTGCTGCAGAGTCGGTAGATACTAATATAGAGTCAGCAGATACTACTATGGAGTTAGTAGTTCTACTAGTCAGTAGATACTACTATTGAGTCAATAGATACCACTATAGATTGAGTAGGCAACTACTATAGTCATTAGATACTACTGCAGTCAGTAGTTATTACTGTAGAGTCAGATACTACTATAGAGTCACTTGATACAATTCACTCTATTGTATGTAGGGTGTTTATGTATATATGTCTACGCGGGGGTAAAAATATTTATTGAGGGTGGCGAGGGGGGTCGACAATTTTCGGAAACCTTTTAGATCAACTATTTACCCCCCACTTTCTATAACTTTTTTGACTTATAATTTTGTTGACGGACAAATGTACAGATAAACCGCACGCCGGGCGTTCACAATAGCTTAGTATTTGTGTATGTATATGTTATGTTTTTAAGTTTTGAAATATATTTTCCCCCGGGCAACACCGGGTAATTCCCGCTAGTCTATATATAAAAGGGAAATTTGGGAATGTGTCTGTCTGTTCGAATTGTTTAGCATACTTCCCAACATGCAAACTTGAAACTTGGCATGTGGGTAGCTTCCTTACTGTACACAATGCAAAAAGTATAAAAATAGACTTTTGTATTTTTTGGGGGGGGGGGCGCAATAATGAATATATTTTGCACGGAAAGTGAGCGGTGACGTCACATCTGTGATGTCACCCGCATGCGGCAGCGTTACGCAGTGTGCCTGCTGACATCACGCATACCCCCCCCCTACTCCCGCGTAGGCCGTCTAATAATCCAAGAAAGGAATCCAAGTCTCGGGCAACGCCGGGTACTTCCCGCTAGTAGCTTACATATCAGAAGTGACCTGGCTATCACACAAGACAGTTCAACGAAGTGGCTGATCACCACATGGAAATTTATAGCAGCAACAAAAATTATCGAAATAAGTTTCAAATTTTTAAGTTTAATTTATTAGGTATATCCCTGTGAGCCATGCGGCTCTTGAGTCGGGTGCAACCGCAATAAACAAAATATGAACAGAGAACATCTTAAAGCGACGACGCGCAACAGAAACATCCTGGAAAAAACAGAAAATCTTCCAATCTAAACGTCATGTCGATTCTAAATGTAGGGGGAAAAACCGGAGGACCTGGAGAGAAAAATCCACGAGACCATAGGGAGAGAGAGATGCAGACTCCACAATATACAGCAGCAGGCATTGTCAGGGTTGGAATCGAACCCATGACATCCTGCATACCAGACGAGGTAGTTGCAATTATGATTAAAATGTGTAATGCGCATTCCATCCTAGAATTGCAATGAGCAATGCATGGAAAGTAGGAAATAAAAACTGAACCAGGGCAACCGACCAAACTAAAGATAGAAGGCCACTTTAAAGAGATGGGTTTTCAAAGCAGACTTAAATATCTCTACCGACTCTTGATTTTCTGATCTGAAGTGGCAAGGCGTTCCATAGCTTGTGGGTGGTGGCACGCTAGCAAAAGCACCAATCGCCAAAAGAGCACAACCCTAGACCTGGGAGTGCTGAGCAGTTGGAGATCAAAAGATCTTAATGACCTCGATGGAATATATAAATGTATTAGTTCCTGCAAGTAATGTGGGGTGAGCCCTTAAAAAGCCTCATAGGTTAATAGCAGCATCTTAAAATCCACTTGCAATTTGACTGGTAGCCAATGAAGGGATATGAGCACTAGTGTAATGTGCTCACAGAATAGTGTATGTGATGTAAGCACTCGAGCGGCTGCATTCTGAACAAGCTGGGGTCTGCCCAGTACTTTGCTCGGTATCCCAACCAGTAAAGTGTTGCAGTAGCCCAGTCAGGATAACGCAAAAGCATGGACCAGTCTCTCCAAGTCAGCAGGTGACAGGAAGTGATGTATTCTAGCAGAAGTGATGCATTCTGGCAATATTTCTTAGGTGGAAAAAGGGCATTTTAACCACCTTAGATACGTGTGCCTCTGTTCAAAAAATTACCTTTAAGGTTTCTGACCTCCTGTGTCGGACTGACACTGTGATCATCATTCAACAAACGAGATGAACCAATTTAAGAAAAATGCAGAGGGGAGCCGATGAATATGGCTTCGGTCATCTCCTAGCTACCGTGGTGACGATGAGAGATGCAGACTCCAAATATACAGTAGCAGGCATGGTCAGGGTTGGGATCGAACCCACAACCTCCTGCATACCAGGCGAGGGAGTTAACGTCTCATAGCCATGGTGGTGATGAGAGAGAGATAGAGACAAACTCCAAATATACAGCAGCAGGCATGGTCAGGGTTGGGAGCGAACCCACGACCTCCTGCATATCTGGCGAGGTAGTTAATATCTCATAGCCACCGTGGTGATGAGAGAGAGACGCAAACTCAAAATCTACAACAGCAGCAGGCATCGTCAGGGTTGGGATCGAACCCACGACTTCCTGCATACCAGGCGAGGTAGTTAACATCTCATAGCCACCGTGGTGATGAGAGAGACGCAAACTCCAAATATACAGCAGCAGGCATCGTCAGGGTCGGGATCGAACCCACGACTTCCTGCATACCAGGCGAGGTAGTTAACATCTCATAGCCACCGAGCTCTGCCGTCCTATGCATGTACGTAAGGCTGCGCCTTGGCGGGGATCACCGTTGGGTAAGGATACAAATAACTACATCCACACCACTATCCCCGCTACGATGGGGATTCAGTGCACGGGGAAAATCCACACGTGACCCACCAACCCTGGCCGCCCTCACTGGTGCGTCATCATCATCGTCGACGTCATTATGCGGCAGCGCCTTTGGCTCAGCGCAGAAAAAAACTCAAATCGGGGGGCTCAGGGTGCCTTCGACTTTCATATGGAGGGCGGCGGGGGGGGGGTCTCAATCAAAAATTGGCTGGAGCCAACGCTGAAATCAATCGCCCGCGCGCAAACAAAGATAGCGGCGGAGAGCACGCGGGTGTAGCCTCTAACCCCCAGGCTGTCGGGGCCAAGTGCTGTCCGTGCTCAGTGGTACACGAGGGTGTGTGTAGGGTGTGTGTGTAGGGTGTGTGTGTGGGGGGTGTGTGTGTAGGGGGTGTGTGTGTAGGGGGTGTGTGTGTGTAGGGGGTGTGTGTGTGTAGGGGGTGTGTGTGTAGGGGGTGTGTGTGTGTAGGGGGTGTGTGTGTGTAGGGGGTGTGTGTGTGTAGGGGGTGTGTGTGTGTAGGGTGTGTGTGTGTAGGGTGTGTGTGTAGGGTGTGTGTGTAGGGTGTGTGTAGGGTGTGTGTGTAGGGTGTGTGTGTAGGGGGTGTGTGTAGGGGGTGTGTGTGTAGGGTGTGTGTGTGTAGGGTGTGTGTGTAGGGAGTGTGTGTCGGGTGTGTGTGTCGGGTGTGTGTGTGTAGTGTGTGTGTAGGGGGTGTGTGTGTGTAGGGGGTGTGTGTGTGTAGGGGGTGTGTGTGTTTAGGGTGTTTGTGTGTAGGGGGTGTGTGTGTAGGGGGTGTGTGTGTGTAGGGTGTGTGTGTGTAGGGGGTGTGTGTGTGTGTAGGGGGTGTGTGTGTGTGTCCGGTGTGTGTAGTGTGTGTGTGTGTCGGGGGTGTGTGCGTTGTGTGTGGGCCCCGGCACCAACGTCAGACCCGGCAACCTTTGTCTCCCCCAGACAGCGATGTCTCTTCTTGTCAATACACAGCAGACACACCCACACACCGCACTAGTCGCCCATTTGAGGCCAGGTCGACCTAGCGCAGCCGTGCAGCAGCAGCAGCAGCAGCAGCAGCAGCCGCAGCCCCCCCTACAGGCGGGTGTTGGGGGGTGGGGGGGTTGTTGGGGGGTGGGGGGGGGGGGGTTGTTGGGGGGTGGGGGGGGGTGTTGGGGGCGCTAGGACAGTACGGGGGGCGAGTACAGTACATGGGGGACCCACACACAGTGCAAATAAGCTCTAGTACAGTACAAGGGGGGGTTCTAGTACAGTACAAGGGGGGGCTCTTGTACAGTACTAGGGAGTTCTAGTACAGTACAGGGGGGGGCTCTAGTACAGTGCAAGGGGGGGCTCTAGTACAGTACAAGGGGGGGCTCTAGTACAGTACAAGGGTGGCTTTAGTACAGTACAAGGGGGGGCTCTAGTACAGTACAAGGGGGGGGTTCTAGTACAGTACAAGGGGGGGGGGCTCTAGTACAGTACAGGGGGGGGGCTCTAGTACAGTACAAGAGGGGGCTCTAGTACAGTACAAGGGGGGGCTCTAGTACAGTACAAGAGGGGGCTCTAGTACAGTACAAGAGGGGGCTCTAGTACAGTACAAGAGGGGGCTCTAGTACAGTACAAGAGGGGGCTCTAGTACAGTACAAGAGGGGGCTCTAGTACAGTACAAGAGGGGGCTCTAGTACAGTACAAGAGGGGGCTCTAGTACAGTACAAGGGGGGGGTTCTAGTACAGTACAAGGGGGGGGGGCTCTAGTACAGTACAAGGGGGGGGCTCTAGTACAGTACAAGGGGGGGGGTTCTAGTACAGTACAAGGGGGGGGGGGGGGGAGGCTCTAGTACAGTCCAGGGGGCTGCAGTAGAGGACACGAGACGCGAGGTCTGTGCGGGCCCGGCACTCTCCTAGCGCAGTGCAGGCCTCAGGCCCAGCGCCGCTCACCGTCGTGGGCGCCGCTGTGGTCTCCTCCAGCTCGGCGAGGATCTTCCCGGGCATCGCTGCTGGCTGCTGGTTGGTTGCGGCTGTTGCTTGGCTGCTTGCGGCTGTAGTTTGGCTGCTGTCTGGCTGTTGTCTGGCTGTTGTTTGGCTCCGGCTGTGAAGGCGGCCGCCTTCTTGGTTGCTGGCCGCGTGGTAAAGGACCGGACGTGACGTCAGCGCGTACGGTCGTTGACGTCATCACGCACGGTGATTGCGGAGGATTGTGGAAAGTGACGTCATGACGCGCAACGTTAAAGGGGTCTGCAAGGGGGGAATGTGACGTAACGACGTACGGATTATGTAACGGGAAAACATGCGAGAGGCGTCGGGATGGGCTGCGTAAAAAACAAGGACGACGTGGAGGCGGTGACGTCATGACGCACGACGTAAGAGAGGCAGGGGATGTGACGTCATGACGCACATTATAAAAAAAAGTTGGTTGAAAGGTCTGACGTCATGACGTACCGGGGTGGTTGAACTTTTATGCTTTATTAATTTACCCGGCAGCATAACAAAGGTTGGCTTCATATTCTTAGGTTTTTTTCGGTAAAGTCACGTAGGTAAAAAATTAAAATTAATAAAAGTAAAATTAAAATTAAAAAGGTGGCTTATCTACTTACACCATCTACATTACAAAGCCTCAGTTTGAAATACTCTGAGGTTTTTTCGGTGAAGTCACGTAGTTACAAATAAAAATAAATAATAATAAAAATAATAAATCACGACGTTTCGGAGGCAACACAAGTCTCCGTCATCAGGTGGGACCGTCACAGCTAAAATTTACTGTATTAAGTGAGGAAAAAATCCAAGAGACAAGCTCCTAAATACAAGTTAAGGTAGAGTTGGGGGAGGGGCTTATCTGAATGTGGTAGCCAGTGAATGGGACGTGTTGGGGTGGGGTGGGCGGGGCTAAAAGAGAACAATCGGTGTACCTCGACTTCAAGTTGTAACCGGTGTTGGCTGACAATCGAAACACAAATAAGTATAACCCGTAAAAACAAAGTTTTTCACTCTAAATCCTTTATATGCGTGGCGGCTAGAGTCCTCTCGTCCTCTGGCTTGAGATGGCTGCCACCTATGGGTCAGATGATTGTCTGCCAGTATTAAGCAATTGGTAATTAAATATTTAATTTGTTTTCCCTAAACAGTGTAAAATTTTGGAAAAAAAATTCACGAACATTAATTGTCTCGCACAACGAGTCTGTGTGCAAAATGTCAGCTCGATTGGATCACGGGAAGTGGGTTAAAAAACGACCGAAAGGTTTGCACGGTCGTAAGCAAGCAAGCAAGCACGCAAGCAGGCAAGCAAGCAAGCGAACTTAATATAAAGGATTTAAAAAGGCAGCGCTGTTAAACGCTGGGGATGTCAACACTCGCTAAAGTAGAATAGTACCTGTCAAATAAGATGGTACAAATATGCGTAAATAAATATTTTTAAATCCTTTATATTAAGTTTGCTTGCTTGCTTGCTTGCGTGCTTGCGTGCTTGCTTGCTTGCTTACGACCGTGCAAATCTTTCGGTCGTTTTTAACCCACTTCCCGTGATCCAATCGAGCTGACATTTTGCACACAGACTCGTTGTGCGAGACAATTAATGTTCGTGAATTTTTTTTCCAAAATTTTACACTGTTTAGGGAAAACAAATTAAATATTTAATTACCAATTGCTTAATACTGGCAGACAATCATCTGACCCATAGGTGGCAGCCATCTCAAGCCAGAGGACGAGAGGACTCTAGCCGCCACGCATATAAAGGATTTATAGTGAAAAACTTAGTTTTTACGGGTTATACTTGTTTACATGGTTAATAACATCTTTCCAATGTCAGACGCTGTCTTTCCGACAGACCTGTTCTTCACCTGAGGACGGCTGCTTGCGTTGTGGCCGAAACGTCGTGAGAATTGTATTTTATTATGTTTAATTTTATTATTTTATTATTTCCCTTCTACGTGACTTTATCGAAAGAACCAAGAAGATGAATCCCTGCAGTCACGAAAGCTTTAAATCGAAATCTTTCCAATGATTACTCAGTTTGTACCCATCATCACGGTTGAAGTTATTTCTGTGTTTATATATCTGGACGGCTTCGTGTACAAACCTTTGATGGTAGCCAGAAGGTTTGCAGAGCACCTTGGTCTCGGAAAAGACTCCAATCGTTGCTCGGGGTATACGCAACGCTACCTCCCAGCCCACACCCCGCCCCCACACTCACCATGCCCCCTCCCCCCATCTCCCCCGCGACTATATCCGCAGACTACCTGCTGGATCTCTAAGGTTTTTTCGGTAAAGTCACGTAGGGAGAAATAAATAAATAAATATTTTTTTATTATTTGAATTAAATAATAATTCACGACGTTTCGGAGGCAACACAAGCTTCCTTCATCAGGTGTAAAAAGACACAGCAAAATAACTGTAGTGAAAGTTATTTGTGATGGGACATTACAAATTGTGTTTGTAGAGGGTGTGTGTGTAGGGGGTGTGTTATTACAGTTATTTTGCTGTGCCTTTTTACACCTGATGAAGGAAGCTTATGTTGCCTCCGAAAGGTCGTGATTATTATTTTATTTCTACTATTATTTCTATTATTTTTTTATTTATCTTTTTTTTCCTACGTGACTTTACCGAAAAAAACCTAAGAGTATGAATCATTGCAGTCACGAAAGCTTCAAATCTAGAATCTGCTGGATGTCCTCTCTCTTTCAAAGAACAAATTTGACCTAAGGTCTTCGCTCATTTACCAGCTTCACATTCCATATTGACGTACAAATACTGGAGGAAGGGCCTTTGCTATTGATGCCCCCAGGGTCTGGAATGCTATTGCCAATAAACTGCAACTTGAATCACTACCTGTGAGATCCTCTCTCAAAACTGCTCTAGAGGAGCTGTACACCCCTAGCTGTCACTGCAAATCAGTAGCCTAAAATAAAATGTTTCGCTCCGGATGATCGCTGCAAAGTATGATCTGTGTTTTGATTTAGTGTACTGATCTTAAAGGTGCATTGAAAAATGTTGATTCTCCGACTGATGCTCCTGCTGTTGTGGAGTGACTCATGCAGCCAGCTATGGCTGCAGGGTTTGGTGGTACATGTTGTTTATCTCGTTCATTGTGAAAATTTCGGTCACAGTTCCTATGATCACTGTTTCATTGCTTTTATGGCTTTATTTTGGTGATTCTCGAAAAGTTTTTTGGTTTGGCCATGTTTGTTTGTTGTAGTACAGAGTTAGACTGATGGCCTCAATCTAAGTTGTCTTGTGGTTGTTGTTGTTTGACTTGCATCCCACTGGGATGTTTGCACACAGCGTTGGTGTACGGTGCTTTTTCTGCAATATTTTGCTGTCTTTTCTTGGATTTTCTGTTTGCACATAGTCACTTTAAGATGTTTTCTTGTTCAAGTTTTTGTTTTTTGTTTGTTGCGGTTGTACCCGATTCAAGAGCCGAATGGCTCACAGGGCTATACCTAATAAATGAACTTGATGTAATTACTCGTCACATCCACCTCTGAGACACACTTAAGCGGTTGTGCTTTCACTAAGTTGTCCCCACCTAAAGAAGGACGCTTGTGTTGCGCCCGAAACGTCGTGATTTAATTTATTTTAATGTTTTACCTACGTGACATTACCGAAAAAACACAAAGAATATGAATCCTTGCAGTCACGAAAACTTCAAATCTAGAATTAAGGGAAATTGGTCATTTAAATAGCGCAATGTGCTGACGTCATGACGTACAATACTGAGACGCAACGTGATGGTGACGTCATGCCGCAAATTACTATTCCGTTCCTAGGTCAAGTGATGTCACCGCGTCGTGATTGATGTCACCGCACAAAGGGGGGGGGCGGTAACTGCTGCAGTGACGTCATGACGCACGTTGTGAATTGGATGGTATGTAGGGACGTGACGTCATGACGCACGGATTATATTCCGGGCAAAACTAAAACGCGTGACGTCAGGACGAACTGCGTAAAATATTTCGCGCCGTGGTGACGTCATGACGCAATCATAACTACAAAGATCCCCCGTGTAGCCTGCATAGACTGTTGGGGGCAAGTGCTGTTAGCGAGCACCTATGAAGGCCGGCACTGTGGCACCCGAGGGGGTGGGTGGTGAGCACCACGCCCGGCCGCCTTTGTCTCCCCAAAGGCGGCCGGGCGGTGTTGGTGGCCGTGAGCGGGAATCGAACTCGGGTCGCCGGGTTCGTAACGCAGCGAGCTAACCGCTACACCACCGCTCACTCACCCACCCACTAAATCATCCACCCACTCACTCACCCACCCACCAACTCACCTGCCCACCTACTCACTCACCCACCCACTAAATCATCTACCCACTCACTCACCCACCCACTCACTCACCCACCCACTAAATCGTCTACCCACTCACTCACCCACCCACCCACTCACCCACCCACTAAATCATCCACCCACTCACTCACCCACCCACCAACTCACCTGCCCACCTACTCACTCACCCACCCACTAAATCATCTACCCACTCACTCACCCACCCACTCACTCACCCACCCACTAAATCATCCACCCACTTACCCACCCACTAAATCATCCACCCACTCACTCACCCACTCACTCACCCACCCACTAAATCATCCACCCACTCACTCACCCACCCACCAACTCACCTGCCCACCCACTCACTCACCCACCCACTAAATCATCCACCCACCCACCCACCCACTCACTCACCCACCCACTAAATCATCCACCCACTCACTCACCCACCCACTCACTCACCCACCCACTAAATCATCTACCCACTCACTCACCCACCCACTCACTCACCCACCCACTAAATCGTCTACCCACTCACTCACCCACCCACCCACTCACCCACCCACTAAATCATCCACCCACTCACTCACCCACCCACCAACTCACCTGCCCACCTACTCACTCACCCACCCACTAAATCATCTACCCACTCACTCACCCACCCACTCAATCATTCACCCACTCAATCATCCACCCACTTACCCACCCACTAAATCATCCACCCACTCACTCACCCACTCACTCACCCACCCACTAAATCATCCACCCACTCACTCACCCACCCACCAACTCACCTGCCCACCCACTCACTCACCCACCCACTAAATCATCCACCCACTCACCCACCCACTCACTCACCCACCCACTAAATCATCCACCCACTCACTCACCCACCCACTCACTCACCCACCCACTAAATCATCTACCCACTCACTCACCCACCCACCAACTCACCTGCCCACCTACTCACTCACTCACCCACCCACTAAATCATCCACCCACCAACTCACCTGCCCACCTACTCACTCCCCCACCCACCTACTCACTCACCCACTCACCCACCCAGCAAATAATCCGCCCACTCACTCACCCACCCACTCACTCACCAACCCACTAAATCATCCACTCACTCACTCACTCACCCACCCACCAACTCACCTGCCCACCTACTCACTCACCCACCCACCTACTCACTCACTCACTCACCCACCCACTCACCGGCCCACCTACTCACTCAACCACCCACCTACTCACTCACCCACTCACCGACCCACTAAATCATCCACCCTCACTCACCCACACACCCACTCACCCACCCACCGCAATGGCGGGGAGGATGCCGTGATACACCCACTCATCATACACTGACTCACTCACACATCATACACTGACTCACAGATCATACACTCACACAACCACTGACCCATTCACTCATAATACACGGACTCACTCACACATCATACACTGGGAGTGCCATGCTGCCAGATATGGCTGCAAGTTTAGTCGTACATGTTATGTATATCGTTTATTGTTAAATTTGAATCAAAGTTCATATGATTACTGTTGTTACATTGTATTTATAGCTTTATTTTGGTGATTTCGAAAACATGGTTAAGCCATGTTTCTTGCAGAAGTGCGGAGTTGGCCTAATAACTTTATTCTAAATTGTCTTATGGGTCATCATTAGAACTCCTTTGCCAGTACCAAAATATAATGATGGGGGTTTTCCCATTTTTTGGGCAACGGAGCTGAAGCCTTTTTACAAGGATTAGTGTCTGCAATGCATATATTATCAGTGTGTTTTTTGTTTGCATTTTGACTGCAAGTATTGTGGTTAATGCAGACGTGGATCCTTGTGGAAAGGTTTCAGTTTTGTTGCCGGAAAAAGGGGGAAGAACCCTAGTATTACGTCTTATGGTTGTTATTGTTTGACTTGCATCATATTGGGATTTTTGCACACAGCGTTGTAATACAGTGGGGTTTTTTTTGGAAGATTTTGCTGGTGTTTCCAGGATGTTTCTGTTGCGCGTCGTCACTTTATGTTCTCTGTTCTTATATTGTTTGTTGCGGTTGCACCCGACTCAAGAGCCGCATGGCTCACAGGGCTATACCTAATACATGAAACTTGAACTTGAAATAATCCACCCTCACTCAGCCACACACCCACTCACTGACCCACCCACTCACCTGCCCACTCACTCACCCACCCAGTCACCCACCCACTCATCTTCTTTCAACTCTTCCTTCCTCTGTCTCCTCCCTTATCTCCTCCTCCGTTATCCCCTCCTCCTTCATTATCATCATCACCACCTCATCTCTTCCATCACCACCACCTCTTCCCTATCTTCCTCCTCCACATGATCATCATTACCACCACCTCCTGTTCGTCTCTATACATTTTATTATTTCTCCACCACCACCTCCGCCACCACCAAAACAAAGATCCCCGTATAGCCTTAACAGACTGTTGGGGCAAGTGCTGTTAGCGAGCACCTATGAAGGCCGAAAGGGTACACGAGGGGGTGGGTGGCCAGCACCACGCCCGACCTCCTTTGTCTCCCCAGTGGCGATGTTTACACACCACACCAGGTACTCATTTGAGGCTGAGTCGACCCAGGAGAGGCCCAGGACTCGTTTAAATAATCGTCACTGGTGTTGGCCGCGAGCGGGTAATGAAATCGGGTCGCCGGGTTCATAGCGCAGTGTAGCGCTAACCGCTACACCACTGCTACACTACCACTACCACCTCTACCACCAACAACAACCGCCATTTGCCACTAAGTGGCGGTGACGTCACCACGACGCTTGTGCCAGGCCATGTGCACCTTGAGAATACATGAAGTGTCGAAAGTCCGCTGGCAGGAGGTCACGGGGCAGACCCAGGTGCCACGGGTCGACTGAGATGACTGAGACGACTGGCTGATGCACCACCTGTGCCCCCTACTGTGCCAACTTGCTGTGCTTTAGCCACCTGGCGCTCTGCTCGTTGTTGTGAGCGTCACTCCTCTACCACCACCACCTCTACCACCACAACCTCCACCACAACCTTAATACCACCACCGCCACCTTTACCACCACCTTTACCACCACTGCCGCAACCACCGCTTATAACACGAAATGTGATCTCAATTTTCCACCAACCTTCTCGTACCCTGGCCCTCTCATTGTGTGGCCGATCCCACAGCAAACTCGGAACGTTTCATCGGGACAAATCAAGCCACGTAAGGCCCACTGAACTATTTAGCTCTATTTCAGAAGTGGCCTGGCCACAAATGATAGCTTATCAAGCGGAAATTTCTAACAGCCAAAATACTGTTGACTTAAAACTTTCGTGACTGCAAGAAGTCATATTCTTTGGTTCTTTCGGTAAAGTCACGTAGATAGAAAAATAAGAATAAAGTGAATAAATATACTCTGAAGGCACGTTCATAAATGTGGAGGGCAACACCAGAAGACCCAAATAAAAATCCAAGTGACCACAGGGGTGGGGGGGGGAGACATGCAAAATCCAAAAATACAGCGAGCTTCAGGGTCGGAATGGAACCGACAACCTCATGCATCCCAGGCGAGGTGGTTAACATCTTGCCTCCTCTCTCTTCTATGCAGTTACTTGTCCTTTTTCCAGGAGTTTTGAATCTGCAGGAGTAGGGGGGGGGGGGGAGAGAATGAAGAGGAGGCGATTAGGGGGCGGCACAAAGCCATTGAAAACACGCAGTAGACTCTCGACTATCCATGCTAATGATGGGCAGGATGGCTGCGGAAAATTTTAAATCGCGGATAATCCAAAAGCAAGCATTTTCCGCTGATCTCTAGAACGAATATGAACGATCGACCAATTGATGATGCGCGTGTTCAGTGATAACACTTTCCTGATCCTGCCCAGGAGAAGACTCGGCCCACTGAGTGGATGACATTAGGGGTGGGCGGGGTCAGGTGGGGTGGGCGTAAGAGTAGCGGGAGAGGTCAGATTTCACTACCAACCTTCATCATTCAATTCCACGGCAGTGGTATCCTGCGCGTCCATGTCCTGCAAATCGACAGTGGTGCTGCCCTGGGCGACGTTGGAGCTGCCCTGGGCGACGTTGGAGCTGCCCTGGGCGACGTTGGAACTGCCCTGGGCGACGTCGCAGCTGCCCTCGTCGTCATTGGAGCTGCCCGGGGCGACGTTGGAGCCTCCACATAAGGTCTCCCGTTTTTCAACTGTGAATTCATCAGCATCATCATCAACATCTCTTTATTTGTGTCTCTCTCTCTCTTGGTCACATAATTCTCCGAACGGCGCTGCAAGGATGAGTAGTGGTCGCGGGTTGCTGAGGATATGGAATCTGCGTCAGTAACTCACGATCGCAAATCGCTCTGTAATTTCAGCAAATAATGTAACTTGCAGCGCCACACACCGATTGCCATCTTGAACCATCCTGGGATTAACCAGGCTAGATTACAGTGTGAGGAGCTCGCAGATCCTTGAAAGATCTGGCTACAGTCCCATTTTCAGTGAGTTCCTCCGGCAGGTGAGGAGGCTGCGTTGTCTGGGTCAGGTAGCCTGCATGCCCAAGCAGCTTCGAATTGGCCGGATAGAGGGGGCTAAATGGGCACGGCACGGGCTCAAGAAGAGATGACTGATTTGGTAGAGTTGGATATGTAGCTGAGTTGAGTTGCCGATGACTGGTACCAGCAGTGTCAAGATCGGCCTCTGTGGAGGAGGCTTGTGAAGAACGCTACTGGGCAGTCGGAGGCAGTCACCCTCCAAAAACAACGAAGGACAGAGGAGCGATTCTCACAACGAGTGGAGCACTGTGCGGCTAAAATGTAGCAAGTTGGCACAGAAGGGGGCACAAGTGCTGCATCGGCCATTCATCTCAGTCGGTCAACCCATGGCACCTCGGTCTATACCGTGACCACCTGGCCTGGCACAGGCACCTTGGTGACATCGCTGTCACTTTGTGGTGAATGGCGGGTATTGATGTATTTTTTACTTCTGTCGCACCATACGTAACCAACCATGCTGTTTTCTTCGTGATAACTGTTGTTGTTCTTTGTGCTTTGATGCCATTAGTTTATTTATTTATTATAGTTTTGCTTGGTAGCAAGGTTTTCATTTGCTTGGTAGCGGCTGCATATAGATATTTAATGTACAGCACTATGGGATGCTATTGGTATGAATGACGCTATATCAAATGAAAGTATTATTTTTAATTGGATGTGCGGGATAAGGACAAGGATATGGGCTGATGTGCGAGTGGGTGAGTGACTTGAGTGTGTCAGTGAGCATGTAAGTGAGCATCTGAGTGATCGTCTAAATCTGTGAACCGATGCTTGTTGATTTCCTTATTTGCGCGCTGCTGGAAGACTTTGCATGGCCACTCTGAAACCAGCGCAACCACAGCCAATTTAGAGTTGAAACGCCCTCTCTGCGTGCGAGAGAGATTCGTCCAGCAGTGGATAAAGCCACCCATGTAACTTACTGCAAGCAGAAATACAGTTGGCACTAATACACAGCAGCAGCTCATGCGCAGCCTAGGGCAGGCCCCAGTGTGCCTGCACATTTGTCTGCTGATAGTAAGGGGGCGATGATTGCTGCCGTGTGGCTCAGCCTTAGAGGCACTGTAATATGATACAACGACTGAAATAAAAGCGGCGCCTAACTAATCAAATAAAGGGAAATGAGGGGGGGGGGGGCGTGCCACTTGACCATGACGTGACCGGCTCGTTCAAGGAAATAATCGTTTGCATTGATTACACGTTATTGATTCTGCTCATTGATTTGCCCACGGAATTTGAAAAATGTAAATGAAAATGTATGTTGTTATTGTATGCGGTTTTGTCCATGATGACTGGCATTGCCCTTGTCGGCTGAGAGGATGACGATGTCATCTCACTTTTTTAATTGAGAAAGCTCAAAGCGCTCACCCTTACTGATGTTGCTGATATGTGTCTTAGCGTTTTTGAGGATTGCAGCGATTTCCAATCTTGCCTTGTCTGCAGTGATGTGTCCCAAATCCTTAAGGGCTACATCGACCTGGGCAATGATAGCATCCACTGGGATGTGTTTAGGGGTGACTGCGAAATTCAACCTTTTAGCTAGAACCGATATTAGGCTGTCGGAAAGATACGTTCTTAAAGCCATCCATATATACATACATAGACACAATTTCAACCGAAAAGATAGGTACAAACTCAGCAATCACTGGAAGGACATTATCAACCAGTTTAAGTCATAACTGGCTGTAATGCTAACATTTTAGACCTGGCAGCCCTTTAATTGGTGGAAGCCCACCATCGGGACCATCACTGCCCACTACCACCATCACCACTAGCAGTTCCCTTTATTGGTGGAAGCTCACCACCAGTGCCGCCGTGGCCCTTTACGAGTACCATCACCTCTGGCAGCAACCTCCACTGTCAACAGTGTGAGTTTGTAAAGCGAGGTGCAATGATTACTTGGCAGCCCTTCAATTGGTGGAAACCGACCACCAGCGCCATCGTTGCACTCTACGAGTGCCATCACGTACGTCAACATTAGCTGCCTCGCCCATACCGCTGACACTTGGGCTACGCCCATTTCAAACCTTTATAAACAGTTTGCCTTTAGAGGCTAACCCCCTTTTCCCGAAGACGACCGCTTGTGTTGCGATTGAAACGTCGTAGTTTTTTGTTATTTTCTTTGAACATATCTACGTGACTTTACCGAAAGACCCAAAGAATATACTTTTTTTGTTATAGCAAATCAACATAGCAGTCTGATCTAGTGTTAGAACAGTCTCGTCTAATGTTAGAATAGACTGACAATGAAACCTTATTTTTTCTCTGTTAATGGCGGTTTTTAAGTTAAAATAAAAGCAGACATCTTCAAGATGTCGGCCCCCCAGTTAACAGCGCAGAATCAATGCTTTGGATCGGCGAAGGCATGCCCACTTCCAAGTGTCCACAATTATGTCATGTCAGCTTCTATCGCATTACAGCGCACCCCAGTGGCAGCCTTCCAAGTACGATCCATGTGACGTCACGGAGAGTGGGAGAGTGGGAGGGCAGAGTGGTGGCCATACCGATATCCTCCCAATTCACGTAGAGCACGACGGCCAAGATAATCACCACCACCACGCCCACGGTCCCTCCAATCGCTCCCGCGATAATTCCTTCAAAGATTGGAAGTGGATGAGGGTATAAGGAGTTGGAGGGAGGAGATGAGAGAGGAGGAGGTGGAGGGAGGAGGTCGAGGAGGTGGATGAGGGTATAAGGAGGAGGAGGGAGGAGATGAGAGAGGAGGGGGTGTAGGGAGGAAGTGGGGGAAGGGAGAGGAGAAACACAATATTAATAGTTCTAATCCTTAATTGGTCATTTTTTTCACTGATTGCTATCTGCTTCATCACTCTTCTTGATTTTTTTTGCAATTCTGGTGACAACCCACGTCCCTCCTGGTCTCTCTTTATTTCTCACCTGGTCACACGAAATTAGCCAGACTCACCCACCACTCACCAGGCTTGACTGTGTTTTCGCTTGTGCAGTTCACCAATCTCTCTGCACAGCCACTGAGCCTGGAAATGCTCTCGCACTCTGGAACCACAGACACAGTTCACACGGTTATCTGCGTGTCCTGAGGAAGGGCCATTGCCTGAAATGTCGCCGATTACATTTTAAAAGCCGCAAACACCACTCATCCTTGCAGTGCGGCACGGCTCTTGGAATTTCTGAGCGAAACCTGCCGTTAGCCTCGACATTCTCTGAGGCTAACGATGCTGTAGATGGTGGGAGTGGGCCTGTCGCTTTTTCTCAGTTCGCCAGAACACCTCTTTGGTCAGCCAGGGTCTCTGGGGAGGTTTGGAGCGCGTACCCAATGCAGCCATTGCAACTGCATGAGCAACAATCCTGAACCTCACCCATTTCCTTTCGGCATCAGCAGTAAGGAGGGATACGATGCCAAACCCAGCTGCAAGCGATGTTGATATTTGTACAAATTTCATCAGCAGTAAGCCGCTACCAGGCCACTGGGGGTTTTAATGGAGTCCTAGGTGGACACCCACCACCACAGTGTCAAGGACATGAGCCCATGGGGGTTCCTCCAGAAATGAGGTTTGGCCAGTAGATGTCATTGACGTCTGTCCCCCCGGGGCCTCCGGCAAATGCTTGGTTTTGATCTTTTCTCAGTGGTTATTGGTGACGGTGCTTAAGGCGCAGTAGTTACCACCCCAATGCACTCACTAATCTTAATAGACACAACAAAGACGAAGGCAAAGATCTCCCATATAGCCTTGAACAGACTGTTGGGGCAAGTGCTGTTCGCGAGTAGCACGAAGCGGTGGGTGGCCAACACCACGCCAGGCCGCCTTTGTCTCCCCAGAGACGATGTTTACCCACTGCACCAGGTACTCATTTGAGGCCCAGTCGACCTAGGGGAGGCCCAGGACCGGTTCAGACCATCGTCACAGGAGTCGACTGTGAGCGGAAATCGAAACCAGGTCGCTGGGTTTCACCACCGTACTACCGCTCCGCACTACAAAGACAGACGTGCACACCCCCTGCTCACATCAACCTGACTCCACCAGCCCTCTATTCACTCACACACAGGCAGACACAGATATATCGTGAGTCTCACCGTGACTGTAGTTGATGGCTACATAGGCGCAATGCACCAGATCAAACCTCCGCAGAGAAGCTGTGGGAGAGAGGGTGGGAGAGAGGGAGGGAGACAGGAAGAGTGATAGGAAGCGACAGAATGGAGTGACTCAGTGAGTGGGTGAGTGAGTGGGCAAGTGAGTGGGTGGGGGAGTGAGTGTATAGATGAGTAGGCGAGTGAGGAGTGGATGAGTGGCTGAGGTGAGTACGTGGGTATGTGGGCATGTAGGTGAGTGGGTGGGTGAGTGGGTGAGTCGGAGAGTGCGTGGTGGGGGACATCTCTACCTGGGTTGATGGCCATATTATGGTGGTGGTCGTAGAGGCACCGAGTCACGTTCTGGAAGCAGGTGTCGTACGCGCAGTCTGCCATGAGGAGGTGACACAGGGGCACAGTGTAACAGAGCCAAAACTCCCGAGTGTATCCTCTAACAGGCTGTTGGGGGCATGAGCCACAGTCCTCAACCTCACCCATTTCCCCTGGGAGTACTTCCCTGCTGTGTAGATGTGCCTATGGCGGAATAGCTTGTTTGGGATCGCAAGTCTGCACAGAAGTATAGTAGCCTCCTACCGTTGTTATTGAGCTGATTTGGCCCATGCCTTCCAAAGACTCTGGCTAAGTTGTCTGGGTCATGACCCACTTGGGCATTATAGTCACCCAACAGGATGCCTCTATCCCGAGGGGCCAATTTAGCTAGCACTTGTGACAGGGGGTCATGGAAGGCATCTCACTAATCAGCCTTGCCTGCATCCCTCCACTGTTTATTTCCAGTGGGGGCGTCAGCTACCACCACCACCACTATTCCTCATATCCCATTGATGGGGAGGCGAGCCCACAGTAGCCTGGGACTGACAGCTTCTCACACCTCAACTCCACGGCCCCAAACACCCTTAATGTTTATTTTGTTCAAAAACAGAGCCACTCCCTGTTGTTTGGCAGTTCCCTGCCCCGAGTAGAGGACTGTCTACCCCACATGGTGACTGGAGCTGAAATGGTCCACCGGACCTCCTGTATTCCATCGAGGTCCGGTCCATTTCCCGACAGAGAAATGGCAGCCGCCCCTCCACAGTGAACGTTCAGGCATTCCAGGAGAAGTCATAGATGCCTGTCCTCACCCCGGAGACTCTGACACGAGTTTAGCTTGAACTTTTCTCCGTGGCGTGCCATGTCGGCCTTCGTAGGTGGTCACTAACAGCACTTTTCCCCAACAGTCTGTTAAGTCTATGTGGGGATCTTTGTATGTTGTTGTCTTTGTGTGTGTAGGGCGCCGCAGTGGCTAGAAGATGTTAACTACCTCGCCTGGTGTACAGGAGGTTGTGGGTTCGATTCTGACCCTGACGCCTGCTGTATATTTGGAGTTGTGTGTGTCTCTCTCTCTCTGGGTCCTCCGGTTTCCCTCCTCAACATTTAGAATCGACGTCATGCGTTTAAGAGTACTTGGCTGCTTCTATACATTTCCACGTGATGATGATGATATCAACCACTTCGTCGAGCTTTTGTTTGTGATAGCCAGGTCGCTTTTAAAAAAAGACCTACATGGCTCAGTGGGGCCTTTCCTGGTAAAACAAATTGGGATAGTGAGTGAGAGAGTTAGAGAGAGAGTAAAAGTGTGAGTGAGAGAGTGGGAGGGAAAGCATTACTAAAGCTTGAGCCACTGGTACAAGCTTCGTTTTATCTTCTCTCCGTGGTTGTGTCACAGTGCTGGCCTTCGTAGGTGGTCACTAACAGCACTTGCCCCAACAGTCTGTTAAGACCATGCAGGAGTTTTCTTTATTGAGTTGGGTGAGCGAGTGAGCGATGCTATTTGTAGGTAGACTTGCCAATGGCTTCTGGTGTCGCGGTCTTCCTCAGCTTGTCCGTGGCTGGAAACAAACAGCAGCAAAGGAGGAAAGGTAGAGACCGCCGATGTGAACTCACGGAGATTAGTCCACACTTTTTGCTGGATTAATAATAATTTGAATTTGTAAGGCGCATTTCATCCCTAAGATTCCAACGCGCCGTGCACAGATATTAAGGAATAAACCAGCACCACATTGGGCGCCACGGTGGCGAGAAGATGTTTACTACCTCGCCTGGTATACAGGAGGTCGTGGGTTCGATCTCGACCCTGACGATGCCTGTTGTATATTTGAAGTTTGCATGTCTCTCTCCCTGTGGGTGCATGGATTTTTCTCTGGGTCCTCTGGTTTTTCTCTCCACCTTTTGAAACACGCGTTTAGAGTATTTGGCTGCTATACATTTCCACATGCTAATCCACTTCAACGAACTATCATTTGTGATAGCCAGGTCGTTTCACAAAAAAGGCTACATAGTTCAGTGGGCCTTAGCTGATAAAATAAAAAAATAATAATTTATAGCCGTTTAGTTTAGTTTTTAACGACACATTTATATTTACGCAAAATCTTACCTAAAGAAAAAACGTTATTATGCTAATACAGATTAAAGTAATAACGCGAGTGCCTCCAATTGCCTGGTCACCAGAGACGGAGCATTCCGCATTCTGGGGGCTGCGCTGGCAACAAGCCCGGTCACCCCAGGCACCTCGGAGTCCCCAGGAGAAGGCGATCTGATGGACTCTCAGGGGAGCTCGTATGGATAAGTTCCTGCAGCTATCGTGGGGCCGACATCCTTTGAGCGCCTTGTAGGTCATGAGCAGATGCTGATGATAGTTCACTCGAAACCTGACTGCTATCCAGTGCAGAGAAGAGAGGGCAGGTGTGAGATGTGCTCGCTAAATGGCACACACGTGAGTGCTTAAGGAGATGCGTTTCTAAACGAGCTGGAGTCACGTGGCACCTGACTCGGAACCCCAAACGGGAAATGCCTTGCTGTAATTGAGTCGAGAGAGCGGAGAAACATGGAGAAGGCCTCTCTCGAGGTCAGTGGTTCTTACTTGGGGTGCACGCTGCACCCCATGCGGGTGCAAGATGCCCTTTCTGGTGGTGCGATACATGGCCATATTTTTTTAGAAGGTAAATAATCGAAAAACAAATTAAGCACGTGCACGTAAAAACAACGATTTTGTTTCATCAAACCGATGTATTTATTAACGTTTTCCATTTTTTTTCGATTGAAAACCAAATTGGTGCAAGGCTGCGGTAAAGGTTAAAATCCACTGCTCTAGTTCAACAGGGGATAAGAAACAGTGCAGTGGGGCAGTGTTTCTGAGGTGGAAGAGCAACTTTCTCACCTCCCTTAGATGCGCGCACCTTAAAGCACAGAGACCGGCCGAATTGAGCACCAACAATTCCGACCTCCCGTGCGTGGCTGACATCATGACCGTCCATTGATGAACGTGGTCATAACTGGATAGGGGAGCCTGTGAGCATGGCCTAAGTTGTTGACTCAGACAGTACAACAGCTGCCTGGTCGGTCGTCAATCACATTTCATCGGCAAGACACCAATGACAAGAGAAGCACAAATGTTGAAGCAAAGTGCCTAAAGGTGGCCGTATAGACAATGAATAGTGAGGGACACTCCACTGAGCCGGGCTTCTCCTGGCAGTCACAGGGGTCCGGCTCCTCCTCGACCCCCCATCCATGGGGTAAAAGTGAGTCAGAACAGATGAGATTAGTCCACACACCCATGTGGTAGAAGGGAGTGAGATGGAACAGATGGAGATTAGTCCACACACCCACGTGGTAGAAGGCAGTGAGATGGAACAAATGGAGATTAATCTTTGCTTTTCCAGAGAAGAGAAGTTGGCATTGGAAAGAGGAGAAGGGTGAAGGGAGCAGGCAGTTGGAATCTCACCGTAAGCACCAATCCTGCGCTTCCATTCGTTCTGGAAGCAGTAAACCTTCTTATTCAGATATCCGTCCCTCTTGCATACTGTGCAACAACGACATCATCATAAGCAGTAGCAACATCGTCATCAGCATCGTCACCAACAGCATTGGCTTTGTCATTAACTTGTCAAGATGGACACTGCCCTACTACAAAAGATGGACACTGCCCTACTAAACAAGATGGACACTGCCCTACTACACAAGATGGACACTGCCCTACTACACAAGATGGACACTGCCCTACTACACAAGATGGACACTGCCCGACTACACAAGACGGACACTGCCCTACTACACAAGATGGACACTGTCCTACTACACAAGATGGACACCGCCCTACTACACAAGATGGACACTACCCTACTGCACCAGATGGACACTACACTACTACACAAGATGGACACTGCCCTACTAAACAAGATGGACACTGCCCTACTACACAACATGGACACTGCCCTACTACACTAGATGGACACTGCCCTACTACACAAGATGGACACTGCCCTACTACACAAGATGGACACTGTCCTACTACACAAGATGGACACTGTCCTACTACACAAGATGGACACTGCCCTACTACACAAGATGGACACTGTCCTACTCCACAAGATGGACACCACCCTACTACACAAGATGGACACTGTTCTACTACACAAGACGGACACTGCCCTACTAAACAAGATGGACACTGCCCTACTACACAAGATGGACAATGCCCTACTACACAAGATGGACACTGCCCTACTACACAAGATGGACACTGCCCTACTACACAAGATGGACACTGCCCGACTACACAAGACGGACACTGCCCTACTACACAAGATGGACACTGTCCTACTACACAAGATGGACACTGTCCTACTACACAAGATGGACACCGCCCTACTACACAAGATGGACACTACCCTACTGCACAAGATGGACACTACATTACTACACAAGATGGACACTGCCCTACTAAACAAGATGGACACTGCTCTACTACACAAGATGGACACTGTCCTACTACACAAGATGGACACTGTCCTACTACACAAGATGGACACTGCCCTACTACACAAGATGGACACTGTCCTACTCCACAAGATGGACACCACCCTACTACACAAGATGGAGACTGCCCTACTACACAAGATGGACGCTGTCCTACTACACAAGATGGACACTGCCCTACTACACAAGATGGACACTGTCCTACTCCACAAGATGGACACCGCCCTACTACACAAGATGGACACTGCCCTACTATACAAGATGGACATTGTCCTACTACACAAGATGGACACTGCCTTACTATACAAGATGGACATTGTCCTACTACACAAGATGGACACTGCCCTACTACACAAGATGGACACTGCCCTACTACACAAGATGGACACTGCCCTACTACACAAGATGGACACTGCCCTACTACACAAGATGGACACTGTCCTACTACACAAGACGGACACTGTCCTACTACACAAGATGGACACTGCCCTACTACACAAGATGGACACTGCCCTACTACACAAGATGGACACTGCCCTACTACACAAGATGGGCACTGCCCGACTACACAAGACGGACACTGCCCTACTACACAAGATGGACACTGTCCTACTCCACAAGATGGACACCGCCCTACTACACAAGATGGACACTGCCCTACTACACAAGATGGACACTGTCCTACTACACAAGATGGACACTGCCCTACTACACAAGATGGACACTGTCATACTCCACAAGATGGACACCGCCCTACTACACAAGATGGACACTGCCCTACTACACAAGATGGACATTGTCCTACTACACAAGATGGACACTGCCCTACTACACAAGATGAACACTGCCCTACTACACAAGATGGACACTGCCCTACGACACAAGATGGACACTGCCCTACTACACAAGATGGACATTGTCCTACTACACAAGATGGACACTGTCCTACTACACAAGATGGACACTGCCCTACTGCACAAGATGGACACTGTCCTACTACACAAGATGGACACTGTCCTACTACACAAGATGTACACTGTCAAACTACACAAGATGGACACTACACTACTACACAGGATTGCCGGTGCTTGCTCCTGCCGTCTCTTCACCTGTGAGTTGCTCCAGAGATGTGCGCAACTTCAGCAGGCAGTCCATCTCCACGTCGTTAAATGCGTTGCCCTCACATACTGCGTCAGGGAATGGAAACACAAGGATGTTGTAGGTTCGATCCTGACACTGACACCTGGATATTTATAGTTTGGATGCATCTCTATCTCTCTCCCCCTGGTCACATGGATTTTTCTCCAGGTCCTCCAGTTTTTTTTTCCCTCATTTAGAAACAATGTCACGCGTTTAAAGCATTTGGCTGCTATACATTTCCACGTGATAAGCCAATTCGCTGAGCATTTGTGGCCAGGTTGCTTCTGAAGACAAGCTGTACAGCTCAGTGGGCCTTACCTGGTAAAATAAAAATAAAAGTTTAGTTTTAGTTTTAAATCCACGAGCATGATGATATAAAACCCACAAAATCCACGTCTTTAATGATTGGAACCCCACTAAATCCACCCCCTTAATGACAGAAACCCCAATAAATCTAATGCTAGAAATCCCGCTATATCCATGAAGGCCACACATAGCTAGCATCACGGTAAGTCTAATTAGCGGGATGAAATGTACGTTCTCCCACCTCTTAGAAATGAGTGTTCTGGTTTATAGATGCCTGTGTGTATGTTGAACGTCTTTGGCACTGTACGTAGTCAACCATGCTAATCGTAGGTGCGGGGGAAGGACAAAAAACTAAGGGTCAGGGGTAGAAGTTAGAGATGAGTGTGGGGGCTAGAGCTCGTGGCTCACGGTTGGGGTGTCAAGGGTAATGGTTCGGGTGAGCACTTAGGGTTATTGGTTAATGGTTAGTGGTTAACTCTTTAGTTTAGTGGTTAGGGATTAACTGTTAGGGTTAATGGTTAGTGTTTAATGGTTAGTTGTTAACGGTTGGGGTTAATCGTTAGTGGTTAACTATTCGGGTTAGTGGTTAGTGGTTAACGGTTATGAAACTGTGGTTAACGGTTGGGGTTAATGGTTAGTAGGTAATGATTAGTGGTCATCTACTCGGGATAGTGGTTAACGGTTAGGGTTTTGGGTTAGTGGCTAATGCTCCATGGCTGCACTCACCCTCCTCTTCAGAGAGGTATTTGTTGAGTGGCTCCTCACATTTCTTCTTCTCCTGCATGCAGTGCTTGATCTGGCAGTCTGCACAGTCACAGCAGAATCATCAGCATCAGCACTGTGATCGAGGATCACCTGCATCACGTACATTCTGATCAACATCATCAGCAGCATCATCATATGGACCAGCGGTGGCCAACCAGCATCTCCAGAGCCGAATGCGGCTCATTAATCCGCCACATGTAGCTCTATTGAAGGGAAATAATGTAGAACGCGCTATCACACTTACATATACACACACTTGGCTCTTTGCAGAACTTATGGGTACTTTGTGACTCTTGGTCTGTTACAGGTTGGCCACCCCTGATAGACACCATCAGCATTTTCAATGACAAGACAAAGCTCCCCCGTATAGCCCACACAGACTGTTGGGACAAATTCTATGCCTGTATGTGTAGTGACACAGCGCCGACTGCTGTACAGCAGCAGCACACGCCGTTGAGCATATACACGGGTGTGCCGGCAGGGCGGAAGGGTCATGGTAGACCTCATAGGGAGGCCCCTGGAACCCTCTGGTGGGTTCGAGAAGGGAGGCGCAGCTAGGGCGGAGCCAAGCCGGGCCGAGTAGAATATAAGCAGCGGAGAGGGAGAGGTTCTGGGAGTTGACTCGTCTCGTCGTCGCTTTCGTCGTCGTCGCCTTCGTCACTGCCGCCTTCGTCCGATCATTGCGCAGCCGGACAGTAGTTGGCTGTCTCAGTCGACATCGTCGGTGCAACACGGACAGGGTCGTGTCTGGGCCAGGCCGTAAGGCAGTGTGCTCGTGAGAGAAGAGGCACATACACGCCTTTAGGGAGAAGAAAAGAGCTACGACACTACATGTATTTTTAACTTCTTTCGCACCGCACGTAGCCAACCATACCAGTCGAACTGCTGTTCGCAAGTAGTACCTATGAAGGCCGGCATGGCACACGGGGAGGTGAGTGGCCAGCACCACGTCCAGCCGCCTTTGTCTCCCCAGTGCTGATGTTGAATACACACCAGGCAAGGTACTCATTTGAGGCTGAGTCGACCTTGGGGAGGCCCAAGAATGGTTCAGATAACCGTCACCGGCGTTGGTGGTGGCTCTGAGCGGGGATCAAACTTGGATCTCTGCTGGGATCCTAGCGCGGTGTGGTGCTAACCACTGCACCACCGCTCCATAATATCACCATTCAATGTACATACATTACCATTGCAGACATCTATAATCAGGGGGTAGCGGTTCAGCCAGCAGTGGATAAATCATTGTGGTCACAGAGGCACTCACCTGTTAAATCGCCGGCCTCAGCCGCAGGAGTTATTGCTGCACAGATGGCCGAAGCCTCCTGGCACTTCTGGTACTTGCAGTCTGCATTCAACCAGACCAGAGAGCGAATCGCTGAGGGGATCACAGAGTGGATCAGTGAGTGGATCAGTGAGTGGATCACAGAGTAGATCCCAGAGTGGATCACAGAGCGGATCACAGAGCGGATCACAGAGTAGATGACAGAGTGTATGACAGAGTAGATCACAGAGTGGATCAGTAAGTGGATCACAGACTAAAGAGTGGATCACCAGGCAGATCACAGAATGGATCACGAAGGAAATCACTTCGGGGATCACAGAGTGGATCAGTGAGTGGATCACAGAGCGAATGACCGAGTGGATCACAGACTGACACACCGAGTACGGACGGATCGATGCAGTTCTATAAATGGCGAGGGCTACCGTTTCCCATGGACATTTTTCCATCAACGGGGGATCTCGCACTGCAGTGGCTCCTATGTGAAACGCACGAGCGGCCGTGGACACGGCCACCTCGGTGTGACATGGCTACTGCGTGCAACGAGAGGGAGTTGTGTTGGCCTGGTTGTTGCATTCTACTATATCAACATCGATAACCCTTCAAATGTAATTTATAACGAGGTAATAAACCGTGCAAATCGGCGCATAAATCCTCGCTGGTGGAGTATTGGCGGGTGATGACGTCATCCCTAGCAACCTCTGTCATGGCGCCCGCCTCGCTCCTCAGTCTCCCCGGTATCTAAGGATCTGCGAGCTCCTCCTCACGCTGGGATCCACCCTGGTTGAACCCAGGATGGATCGTCGGCAGCAGGACCCAGCTTGAGTGTCTCAAACCGGCGCAGATGTTCCTGCTCCTCCTCATTCAGAGGACTCCACGTTTCACAGGCATAGAGACACACAGACTCACATACAGAAACACACACAGACAACAACCTCCATTCGCCAATAAGTTGCAGTGACGTCACCACAACACTTGTGCCTGGCTATGTGCACTTCTAGGCCATGTTTAGTGGCAAAGGTTCACTGGCAGGAGGTTCAGGACAAATCCAGGTTCCATGGGTTGACGTTTGCCATGCTAGGTGCAGGGGGAGGTCACGGGACAGACCTAGGTACTAAGGGTTGACTGACTGAGATGGCTGGCAGATGCACCAGTTGTGCCCCATACTGTGCTAACTTTCTGCATTTTATCTGCCCGACTATCAGTTCGTTGTTGTGAGCGTCGTTCCTCCGCCCTTGTTGATCACAAGCCTTCTCCATAGAGGCCGATCTTGACACTGCTGGTACTGGTCATCGGCAAGTCCACTCAGCTCCACATCAGTACATCTCTTCTGTAGCCGGTGGCACCCATTTAGCCTCCTCTATCTGGTCAACCAGAAGCTGTTTGGGGATGCGGTGGTTGAGCATGCAGGATCCATGACCAAGCCAATGCAGCCTTGCCAGCTGCAGCAGCTCATTGATGGGACTGTGTCAATATTTTTCAAGGATATGTGAGCGCGTCACACAATCCAGCCTGGTTAACCCAGGATGGATCGTAGGCAGGCCAGCCTGAATGTTTTAAACGGGTGCAGATTTTCCTTCCAGGTTTTGCAAGCATAGTGAAGGGAGGGCATAACTGTGGCCAAGAAGACCCATACAGCGTTATGCAGCCGATGAAAATATAATGCCGCCTTGATTGATATGGAGTGAGATCTCTGCTGCCAAACCAGAGCTGGACATAAGCACACTGCCCAGGCATGGAAACTTCTCCACTATCTGCCCAACTGTCCTATCATTCATGGGGAGTTGAGGGAGGTGAGCATTGGTGACATAATATACCCATGCAGGTGCTTTACTTTGTGGGGCTGATGTTAAGATCCTCTCTCTTAGTAACAAGCTCCAGGTTCAGCAGCAGCACCTCCAACTCCTCCTCTGAGTTAGCAACAATAACCAGATGATCAGCATACATCAAGTGTCTGATGAAGAGGGAGGCATCCCTTGCTCTATACCATATATAAATTCCACTTGAAAAACAATATTAAATATTGTAGGAACTATGGGTCATCTCTTTCGCACCCCAAGGATGTGATGAGAGAGTTAGGAACCCCGCAAGTACGAAGAACAATCCAGAGCCCTGGTCTATTGATGGTATCATAGGCCTTGACCAGGTCAAGAAAGCAGAGATGTACGTCCTGTTGGAATTCCTCTACACCTCAGCTGTAGCAGATGAACAGAGAATATGCCATCCATTCAGGACCGCCCTGGCCTGAATCCACACTGGGGTTCTGCTACCCTCATCTCAGTGTGCCTGGCAAGGTGGTGTTGTGGTGTTGAATAATCCTTGCCAGGACTGCCAGGGCATCCTGGGAAACTCATCCAGTGATCTAGGCTTTTGTGATAATGTCATATAGGGCGGTCTGCACAAAAACGCCATTTTCCTTTGCAGATGCCTGGCACTCTTCCTGGTCTCAGACTCTGAATCGTCCCTGGTGCTTACTCAACAGGTGGCACTTATGCCAGCCATTCACAGTGGGTGGCTACACAACAACAACAACCGCCATTCCCCACTAAGTGGCGGTGACGTCACTTAGTGGTGAGACAGACATACATAGACAAAGACAAATATCCCCCATAAATGCATAACAGACTGTTGAGGCAAGTGCTGTTAGAAAACATCTATGAAGAACGACATGGTATGCGAGAGGGTGTATGGCCAGCAACATGCCCGGCCCCCTTTGTCTCCATCGTGGTGATGTTCATTACACATCGAACTCGAGTCTTTGTCAGGTTCATTGCACAGTGCAGCGCTATCTACGACACTACCGCTCTCCCAAAAAAATAGAAAAAGATACCCCTATAACCTTAACAGACTGTTAGGGCAAGAGCGGTTCGCGAGCACCTATGAAGGCTAGAACGGCACACGATGGAGTGGGTAGCCAACACCACGCTGGGCAGCCTTTGTCTCCCGAGGGATGATGTTCACACACCACGTACTCATTTGACGCTGAGTCGACCTAGGAGAGCCTCATGGCCAGTTCAGATATTTGTCACCGATGTTGGTCGTCAGTGGGAATTGAACTCGGGTCACGGGATTTGTAGCGCAGCGGACTAATCACTGCACCACCGCCCACACACAGACACACACAAACAAAGATGCACACAGGCCGTTGTCTGACCGTGAATGGCCTTGAGTGAGAATCCACACTTCCTCTTCACCTCCAGATCATTGGGGCCATCTGCAAAAGCACGACAGGAATTGATGCTGGCATGGTGGTGACCTCGGGTCAACTCAGGTGGGTTCAGTCTGGCGTAGGACGAAGGTGGGTGGGTGATTGTGTGAGTGAGTAGATGAGTTTGTCAGTGATTAGGTGAGTGTGTGGGTGAATGAGTGGGTGGGTGAATAAGTGACTGGATGAGTGGGTGAGTGACATCATCACAACTAGCTGGACCGCAAGCAACTGGGCTGGAGTGATTAGAAAGCATTGGGCAGATCAGATCAGTATTAACAGTAGGAGGCTGCTAGACTTCTGCACAGCCCATGGGCTTGTAATCACCAACACGCTGCTTCCTCTTTGGATGTTGTGTGGAATATATTATTATGGAACAGCGGATGCAGGCCCATGTCCTTGATACCAAGACATGGAGCTGATCTGCCCACTGACCATCGGCTTGTCATCTGTAAGATGCGCCTGCAATACTTCCACTGCAGTGGTGGGGGTCCACCTAGGATCCCCATTCAAACCCGCAGTGGCCTGGTCTCGGCTCGCTGCTGATGAAAGTTGAAGTGATAATTTAATCACTTCTTGCAAATGGGGTTGGCATCGCCCCCCACCTCCTGCAAACTTCCACCTCCTATCTATTTATTCCTGCTCACCTGTACTCTGAAATGTCTCAGCCTGTGTGAGGCGGATGGTGAGGAAGAGGGTGAGGAGGAGGCAGGCAGGGATTGAGTTTCGTGGATGAGATGCCATCGAGACCTGGGTTCCGGTTGCTTGCGTCGCGATTCTGAGATTGGTCAGAGGATGGAGATTCGGTGGTTACAAAGAGAAACGTAGAGAGGCTACATCATCACCATCACGACCGTCATGACCATGACCATAGACATAGACTCACACACAGAGACCCATAGACTCATATAGACTCACATAGAGACCCATAGACTCACAGACTCAGACTCACGAAGAGACCCGGAGACTTACAGAAATACCTGTCGACTCGCATAGAGACAGCCTCACACTGAGACACGTATACTCATTGAGATTCATAGCCTCACACAGAGCCACAAAGATTCACATAGAGATGCATTGACAGACACAGAGACGCACACACTCATACAGTGATCCATAGATTTAATTTGAGGCCCATAGACTCACACAGAGACCCCTAGATTCAAATAGGGACACAGAGACTCACACAGAGGCACAGGCTCACACAGAGACCGGTAGACTCACATAGAGACCCACAGACAGAGAGACTCATAGACTCAGAGACCCATAGATTCGCACAGACCCACAGTATCACACAGAGAACCATCGACTCACATAGAGACCCACAGACTCAGAGAGACCCATAGACTAAATCAGAGACCCATAAACTTACACCAAGAACCATCTATATATATAAAATCGCAAATCTGTCTGTCTGTTTGTCTGTCTGTCTGTCTGTGTGTGTGTCTGTTTGTCTGTGTGTCGCCGGACCATACGCAGTTTCATTGGACGAAATGTGAGGGATTTGCGAGACGCGATTGGTCCGTTTGGTTTTCCACGGCGGTTGCCCCTGGCAACGGTTAGCGACGCATTCGCTGCGGGGTGGACGCCATTTTTAATTCCCGTTAAAAATATGCGCACGCATTAACACGCGACTCTGAGGTAAATTCATCAAAGTTTCACGTCCTCTTCACTCACCCCCCACCCCAATGTGTGCAATTACTATTATAGGGTCGGTAGATAATAAAATTATAGCGATTAGACAGTATTATTGTAGCGCGGGGGGCGGGGGGGTAACGGCCCCATTACCCAGCCTCAGCCGGGTGGGCAATTTAGGCGAGGCCGGAGGCTCTGCACGGTACTAGGCCTCGACACCCCACCCGTGTCAAGCGACGACTTTGTGGTATAAACTCGATATACCCAGCGTTGCCCGGGGGGAAAATACATTTAAAATCTTCTGAAAACTTTAAAACATTACATACCAATGAAAAAACAACTGTGTAATTACTTTTAAACCCGACTCGCCAAGATTCGATTCTTTAAATGTTGACTGTACAAATAGTCATTAAGCTGGGTGAGCGTACTGGAAGTCTATAATGTAGACTGTTGCCTGCTTATTAAGCTGGGTGGGTGTACTGGCAGTCTATAATGTAGACTGTAGCCTGCTTATTAAGTAAAGTGAGTCAATTTGTAACACGTAGGCTTTCGCGACCATTATTCATAAACAACGTTATTGGGTTTAGATCGCCTTATTTATTAATGTGTTGTAACCCTCCACCACCCGACACGGCCAATCAGTAAAAAAGTGTCACGTTGATAAAAGACTAATAGTTCACTGCTTTAGCCCACCGGTGTGTTCAAGCGTGAAACCACAACAATTACCATTTCAGATGAAAAAACTACTGTGTCATTACTTTTAAACACGACGCGCCAAGAATCGATTCTTTAAATGTTGACTGTACAAATAGTCATTAAGCTGGGTGAGCGTACTGCCAGTCTATAATGTAGACTGTAGCCTGGTTATTAAGCTGGGTGGGTGTACTGGCAGTCTATAATGTAGACTGTAGCCTGGTTATTAAGTAAAGTGAGTCAATTTGTAACACGTAGGCTTTCGCGACCATTATTCATAAACAACGTTATTGGGTTTAGATCGCCTTATTTATTAATGTGTTGTAACCCTCCACCACCCGACACGGCCAATCAGTAAAAAAGTGTCACGTTGATAAAAGACTAATAGTTCACTGCTTTAGCCCACCGGCGTGGTGGATCCAAGTCCCGGGCGAAGCCGGGTAGTACAGCTAGTAGGCTTATATAGAGACCCACATACTCACATAGAGACCCATATACTCCCAGAGACTCGCAGCCTCACATAGAGACTCATAGATTCACACAGAGACCCACATACTCACTCTGAGACTGGGTAAACTGCCACATATCATGGGCTAGGAATCTCAATACAAGTGTTATTATTTTAGACATTCTATCAGCCACACGTGAACAAAACCCCCAACTCTCACTCAATCTCACCTGCTCTCACTCATGCGCCACCACTCAGCTGTCTCTCAGTAGCAAGGCGCTCACATGCTGAGCAACGTTTAGGGGATTTCCAAAAAAACCTCCCTCGACCACGTGCAGCTTTTCCGGTTATTGAAAATATTCACAAAACATAAACTACCCACCCCCGCCATCTACTGGACTTTTCCGTCAGACCGGACTACGAGCACAGAGATGGGCGACCCCATTCGCATGAATAGGGTGGGTGGTGGTGAGTGGAGGTTGGTGGAGGTGGGTGGAGATGGGCAGGTGGATGGGGAACGGGTGTTGTGTTGAGTGGGAGAGATCATTCTTACGTGCGGGGGATGGGGGACAGGCTAGAGGAGCCTCATTTGCATGAGGGCTTCCCCTCATGGCGCTCGTAGCCAACACAGCGACCAACAGGGGCTCTGGACGGATGGCGATTTGTGGTTCTTGTGTGGGAAGCGGTGGTCTTGTAATTAGCGCTGTGTTACACATTTTCGATTCCTGGCCCTGGGCCTTCCCTAGGTCGACTTGGTCCTGGGGCCTCCCCTAGGTCGACTCAGCCTCAAACGAGCACCTGGTTGTGATGTGTGAACAACGCCACTGAAAAGACAAAGATGGTTGGGTGTGGTACTGGCCACCCACCCCTTCGTGTGCCACAGTGCAGACCTTCACAGGTTTTTCTCGCAACGAACAGCAGTGCCCCAAGTCTGTTAAGGCTACACGGGGGATCCTTGTCTTTGGGTAAGTGGTCGACTCTACCTCGGGAGTTCACAATCCAGTGGATATGTGAGCCAGTCCCAAGCCTGGATAAAAAAGGAGGGTTGGGCAAAAGGGTGCTGATTCTTCGGCTCTTGACGATCACAGAAGAAAAAGGAAGGATACCGGCTCAGACTTTGCTTGGGTCAACCAAGGTCCAACAAACCCAAGCAAGTTGGGTCGAAAAATTAGCTACTGGAAATCAGCAGCAGAAGGAGCAACAGCTATGACACCATTAGGAAACAAAGCGGCCATATTCCGAAACAATGAAGGGGCTGAGAATGGCGAATGAGATTACAGTCAGCGACATGGAATGAGATAACACTGTGGGAAACGGGACAGTTAGGCTAGGAAAATAATAGAAAGATACCAAGGCACGGCAATCCTAGGACTGGCAGAAATGAGATGGACAGGAACGGGGGGAAATAAATGGGGGTGGGTGAAGTGATCTGTTCAGGGGAAAAAAGAAGTGCACACCAGAGGTGTAGGGTTCGTTTCACCACGTATGCTTTCGCGACCAATGTCATCCATAATAACCCTTACTAGTTGCCTGTGTCGGTGTGGTGGCGGCTTTTAACGGCACATTTATATATTTACGCGATCTAACCCAAAAACCTCTAGTAGGTCTCTTGTTGAGCGTAAAATTCAAAGCATCATTAATGGGATATAAACCGGTTTGTGCAAGAATAATTGGAGCAAATATGTAATGGGAAACCCCTAAATATGGTAGACACCATCCAAATACATGCACCAACATCTATGAAATGCTGGAAATCACGTTAAAGCAATTGCCTATGAAAGCGATTACGATAATAGTGGAAGACTGGAATGCAACGATTGGGAAGGATAACGCTGGATGGGATCGCATCATTGAAATATATGGATATAGACAAATAAATTAAAGAGGTGGGAAAAAATACAAATAGTTCACTACTTTAGCAGGTGGAGGCTTCACTATTCTGGCAAATCGCCCGAAGATGCTGGATGTGATTTCCAGTGAAACGTCGTACTCAAATTGTAAATGTTGTGGATTCACTCTTCAACAAACCAGTGGGCTAAAGTAGTAAACTATTTGTCTTTTGCCAACGTGACACATTTTATACAGATTGGCTGTGTCGGTTGGTGGAGGTTTGCGACACATTTATAAATAACGTGATCTAACCCAAAAACCTTTATTAAGAATAGGACATCAATGTTAGACACCTGATCTGACGTAAAGAGAACTACAAAGAGACTGGTCAAACGCTTGTAAGCGTTCAAGCGATGTTCAAGGCATGCCACTAGCTTATCAATGACCACATAAAATATTTCTATTTTTACTTCTCCCTCCCCTCAAGTGTCACACCTGGTTCTGAGCTCTCATCTGCAAATGTTTTGCGTTTCCTCTTTCGCTAAAGATCGTGCTTATATGACTAAGAGACACCTGTCACATTTAAGGCTGTCCTTTCAAAAGCCTCAAACTGGTCTTACTGTCCCACCACAAAATCCCTCAACGAAGATACAAGCTGTGCTGCTACAGAGATGTCAATGTCACTTTTCTGTAGGTGCATGCTTGTAGCGTGGAACCGGTCAGGTATGACGTCCCAGAAATGTACCATGAACACCATCTCTAAGGTGTCCAATTTAGCATTTAGTCCAGCGGCCTCAATTCGAGTATCTCTTTTCTCATTATCATCATTGCACATACCACCGAAGACCTCTCTAATGTGGGTGTAATTTCTCCACAGTGCCTTGGTTGACTCTGCCAGAGCACTCCACCGAGGACTGGACAGCGATTTTAATGTCGGTCTGACATCTGTCTTCTGAAAGACTTTCCCCCATCTGTGTGTGGATGAAGAGCAAAATGTGTACAGTGACTGCAACATGTTAAAAAACTCGTCAGCCTCTGGGCTACTGCCGCATTAACACCAACTAAGTTAAGTGAACGCACTGCGCAAGGCACAAACTCTATCAGAGGGTGTTTTTTGTTTCAGGTGGGCCTGTAGCCCATTGTATTTTCCTGACATGTTGCTTGTATTGTCATATGACTGACCTCTACAGTTTGAGAGGTCCAACCCAAGGCCCTCCACCATCAAAGTCACACAGTCTGCTAAACTTTTACCAGTGTGGCTCTCAATTTGCTGGGTTGGAGTCAACAATTATTGAATAATATTTGGCATCACGCATCTCATCTGCTATTGTTTGGCGAGTTTTCTGACCCATTAGCTCAATGAGTTAATTCACATATTGTCGATGACAAATAGGACACTGTGCCTCTTTTTTTCCGCCAAACTTTTTAATATGTTCAGCTAAGAATGGGTTGACCCAAACTGTTCATCATCTCCCCTAAATGCAAGTCCTCTTTCACCCAAGAACTTGATCACTGCGACAACTCTTTCAAAATGTTCCTCCAGTATTTATGTTTCCCATCAAGTTGCTGTATGAGATCTGAATCTATAGCACTGCCCTTTGTCCGCTGGTGCAAGGCAAGCATGCATGATCTGTGTTCTGCACTCTTTTCGTGTCCCCCTATTTTTTCAGAGTGCTTCTAGTCACTAAACCCCTGACGAAAGCCACTGAGCTTGCTGGAGAACAGTTTGCATGTAAAACAGTACACACAACCTGTTCAGGTTGAGTACAGTAGCCACTGTCTAGAAACCTTCTGCCCATCTGCCAATACACAGTTCAGAAGTTCATTGTTGAAACTTCGAGTTTTTCCACCAAGCACTCTATCTCGGACTGAAGCTGGGTATTTTTCACTGCCATTTTGGAAGGGGGCTGCTCCTCTTTCAATAAGCACAGACTTAATGTCACTGGAAGTTCTTTGCCCTTATGCAGGTCAGTGACCTCATAGCACTAGGAATGTCTTGGTTGCTGATTTGATTCTTGTGAACTGCCCAACTGCTCCTGAGGTGGAAATGATGGTTCTTGTATACCATTAGCTGTTGAGGGTTCGCCTTCAAAGGATGGCTCTGGGGGAGTGACATTACTGGAAACTGAACTAGTGCTAGTTCTTCCTTACAGCTGACAATAGTGCTAATTTCATCATTATTACTATCAGAGTGTTAAATTTCGATTTAAAGCGTTCGTGACTGCAGGGATTCATCTTCTTGGTTCTTTCGGTAAAGTCACGTAGAAGGAAAATAATAAAAATAAAACATAATAAAATAAAATTTTCACGACGTTTCGGCCACAACACAAGCAGCCGTCCTCAGGTGAAGAACAGAGCTGTCTGAAAGACAGCGTCCTAATGAACACCGCTAAGCTTGGCAGCCTATATTTAAGCTGGGTGGGAGGAGCAGAGTACCTTGACAAAGGAGTTTACATATCGACAGAGGAATTTAGCATATTGACGCTAAAGAACTGCAACTACCCAACTACCATACAATAAACCGATGTTAAAAAACGAAATATAAAATACATCAATATAATCAATGTACTCAATATACTCTCCAATAAGCTGAGCTATTAACATTAAGTAACTGGGTATACACTACACTATATAATGACTACCATATAGTGAACCGATAAAAAAAATATAAACTACATCAATATCATGAATATACTCAATATACTCTCCAATAAGCTGAGTTTACATATCAACAGAGGAATTTAGCATATTGACGCTAAAGAACTGCAACTACCCAACTACCATACAATAAACTGATGTGATAAAACTAAATATAAACTACATCAATATAATCAATGTCCTCAATATACTCTCCAATAAGCTGAGATATTAACATTAAGTAACTGGGTATACACTACACTATATAATGACTACAAAACTGCCTCTCTTGCCTCCTTTTCTGTTTTGGCTTTCCTTTTGGAAGCACTATTCCAACGTTTGTTTTCCATATTTCAGAACTAGTATGCTATTCATATGACTATATTTATAGCATATCTCAATACTTATAAAATATTAATTTAATTAATATATGAATAATGACAACACCCTTCAAATACTGTTGTTGGAAAATACAATCAAGTTGTAGTATTTTATAGTCTACTTGTACCTAAAGGCAGCTTTTGAAAAAAATAGAAAGTACATGAAAGAAAATAACCCTAACAAAAGGCTGTTAGAAAATAGCCCTCATGAGGGATTGTTGTTAGAAAAAGATGAAAAAAGTATCTGAATATATTACTGTAGTGTACCAAGCAAGAAAACAGGCATCTGTCCGTGGCTTTTCCTACCTGCCTGACACAGACAGAATTATTTTGCTTGAAATTCAAAAGATAACTTTTTTTCATTGGCTGAACAACCAACAAAGGTTTCTGATAAGTCAGTGAAATTACTTGGTGGAGACTATGCACATAGGCCACACCCCATCGATGGGGAGGGGGCAAAAATACCTCGTAAGAGCTGTCGACAATTTGCGGTCTAAGAAAAAAATGAATGGGGT